GTTTGATGATGATTGCTGCCGAACGTGAAGGCAGGAAGGCATCGTCTGTTGCGTTTTGTCTATGACAAGCAGAGTCGTTTTTGTTTTGGGTGTGGGAAGATTCTTTTCGAGTTATGATTGTTTACTTTGAGTTGTATTTTTGATATTTATTGAGAATTAAAGCCGCAGTCAAACCTCGAAACTCCTGATTTTAGCGTAGTGGGTGTTTTTGAAAGATAGGGAAAAAAGCTGCGACAAAATTGGCGAGCACGACAAAATCAATAATTTGTGCGAATTATAAGTAACGAAACGAATATGAACATTTTAATGGCACCTTCGCGATTCTCTAATCAAGATGACGAATTTATGAGGGGATTCGATTCTTAATGCGCCAGTTTAGATGTGTCACCACTCACCAGAGTTGAGAAAGCTGAAGTTGATGTCAGCTGAAGTCAAACTTCAGCTGAAGCTGAAGTCAAACAAAATGGGATATCAACTATGGTCACGGAAATGTTTACAACTTAGAAGCTGACGAAATAATCGAGCAAATACGGCCAAGCGCATCTGGGCCATCGCTTTTGCAAAAGTTGAGGCAGGAACTCTTCAATATAATTCAGAGGAGCATGAAAGTAGCCAAAAGTATGTTCTAAATTTAACCGAACTCGGCGATATGACTTACCCCGATCCATCAGATCGTGATATCAAAAACTGGATTTTGTACCATACTTTAATGAGGAGATTTTCTAATAGGACATCCGTTCGCATAATACAAAAAGACAACAGCTACAGAAGGCGCATAGATTTTCATGAAGCCGCTAGGAAGTTATTATCTATGGAAACAGCAGATGTTGAGCCGAATGGTGAGATTGCGATCGTTAATGCTTTAAAAACAGGGAAGTCTAGTTGCGGTTTGAATGAGGAAAGAGATTCTATCATGAAAGAAATTATGCAGATGCGTTCGGAGGTTCGTTAAGATTCGATTAAGAGAACTCGAGAGCGCCACGAGGACCCAACAATTTAATATTCAACGGCCGATCAATCGAACGAGATGTTTTTATGTAATAAGATTGGACATTTTTAAAGAGACTGCCAGTGTTTCCATGAAATTAAAGTCGTAACCGCGAATATAATTCAGATCGCGATGGCAACAATTTTCCACGGCGCAAAACCGCAGATTTCGATGTGTAGGGGGAGGAAGAGGGGCGGGTCGCCGTTAGAAGTGTCCCCGCCTCAAAAAGCCTCGTCAAATGTGCCAAATATTATACGTCTGTGTCCTGGTTGATACTGGAGCTAGTGTACTTTAAAATTTGGTGCCATTTATGGGAAAGAATCGAACACGGGCTCGAGCCGTGAACGACCTGTACCGCCGACTCGATCATTTACAGGCGCCAATTGCGGTTAAAATCTTTATTTGCGGTCTGACTATTGGTGAATGCCGATGTACAAGACATCGCAAGAGACGACTGCGGTTTGCTGCCATCTTGGGCTGTATAAATTTACTGTTATGCCTTTCGGTTTATCTAATGCAACTGCTTCGTTTTCAAAACTAATGCACAGTGTTGCATGGTGTGCCTATAGAATGGCATGGGCTTTGGCGTATATTGCCATAATTGTATATTCTAGTACTTTTGACTAGTATTTGCAGAGGCTGGATAAAGTGCTGCATAGGCTAGTCGATGCAAACTTGCAGCTGAAACCGACCAAGTGTTTTCTTTTAAAAAAGAAGTGAGTTTTCTCGGACATGGAATGAAGTCCGATCCTGATAGAGTAAAACTTGTCGAATCTAGGCCAGTTCCAAGAAATGTCTAAGAGGACACGGAAAAATAGTGAGAGCGTTGTGGTATATGGTGATCGAGCCCTAACTGAGCCCAGAAAAAATATTCCACGACGCGCAAAGAACGTCTAGTCGTTGTTCATGCTACTAAGAAGCTGCTTCTGATGGGCCGTTCGTGTCAGATACGTACAGATAATCATGCGCCACTCCGATGATTATGCCACCAGCAAGAGACGTATGACCAGTGTGTAAGATGGTATGAACATTTAGCAACCTATTATTTTACTTTTCTTCGTCGTCCAGGTGTAAAGCATGGGAATACAAATGCAATCAATCGAAGGCCAGTTCAATGACATCTTCCGAAATAAGACGCTCATTTGAACTTTTCGTGGAAGATAGAAGGTGACATACGCGCGTGTACGGTGAACTCCATAGATTTCCGTCGAGAGTTGGGGTAGGCAGATGACAGTCTGAGTGCAACGCAGAAAACTGATCCGAATTTGACAGATGTATTTTATTAGACTGCTGCAGATAAACGACCTTCTTTTAAAAGAGTTAAGCTTTAAGACATTTGTGGGATCAGTTTGATAAAATAGTTGTTAAAAATGGCGTAATGTATAGAAAAGTGAATGATTCTGAAGGGTGACCGTACATTTGAACCCACGTACATTTGAACCCATGCGTATATCCACGGGTTCAATCTATATGCGGGTGCTAAAACCCATGGGCTAGGGTTAGTATGGGTTCAACTATCCAAAAAACAAAAAAAATTCCATAGGTGCAATAGCATACAGGTGTAATTGTCATGGGTTTAAATGTACGTGGGTTCAAATGTAATGGAACCATTCTGAAGATTTGGCTTTATTTAATTTACAATTACTTGTGATATAGTCGCTGAAAGTTTATATTGGTGGAAATGGCAAACAGATGTTAAGAATTGTTGCGAGACCTTCTCGATTGGGGATTTAGAAAAAGTTCGTCTACAAATCCAAGAGCTTCTTTAATTCCATCTAACGAGTCGTGCTGCAAAGAATTGAGATTGACGTAGTCTGTGCTTGTGGCGTAGACGAGCACCGACAACCGTTATTTATTAGTAGTGACTGACACATTTTCAAAATACTTACAGGCTTGGCCAAAGGAAAGTAAGACTGCAGAAGAAACGTCGAAACTTCAATACAAGAGTTCATGGCGTTTCAGAAGTGGTACATTCGGACCGAGGAGTAAATTTCGAAAGCGGAATTTTTGCCGACTTAAGTTGAATGATGGGATTTAAGAAAACTCGCTCTACCGCCTATCATCTGATGGGAAATGGCGACGTTGAAAGATCGAACAAGAATGTTGCAAAACTACGTTTACAACAACCCCGCAACTTGGGATATTGAGCTTCCGGGTGTTGCAGCATCGTACAATGCCAGATTCACGACGATCGAGTTTCGAGGGCTTATATGTAGGGCTGGGCATTTTCGAATACCTGATGATTTCAGAACCAAATCGAATATTTTTTTCGAATCGAATCTCGAATACTCCGGAGTAAATGAGAAAATGTAATTATATGCGCCTTTTTTTATTGTAATTGGTTGTGTCAACAAATGAATTACTGAAAACGTAAGATACATCACTCAGACGGATTGCTGAGCGTTCACACACAATAAAAAACGACCAAAGATGGCGACGATTCGAAATTTTGCTCTGAACCGATTCGAATAATTTATAATTCGATTCGAAATGCCCAATCCTACTTAGATGTTGATCTGCCTCGCGGAATTGCCATAGGGATTGAAAGGAAGACAGATACGACAGGAGCGCTTTAACGAGCCAATATCAAATTGGAGACCTAGTTGAGGGTCTTGTCTCCGGCTGTCGCACATGGAGGAAAGAGAAAGCTCGAAATGCCATACATAGTCCATACGTCGTCCAGCGCATATTATCCCCAGTGACGTGAGCAGAGACTAGCGTGTGTGGTGGTAAAACTATGAACCCGTCGCAAGTTTGCGCACTTTTTAAATTACGATTCATCGGAATTGGAAAAAACTATTCGCATACAACGCTAAATGAAAACGTTAAGGATAACCCTACCAGGGGCAAAAGTTTTCTTTACTAAATCTTTTGGGATTTTACAAGCTAGAAACGTGATTGCGTAGGTATAAATGCATTTACGGAACCCGAACCACTGTAAAAAGAAAACTTTTGTTTTTGTTCTCGAAAAAACAACAACATTTAAAGTCGACGTTTTGACACGCTGCACGATCTCACAGCTGAATAATGTCATCATATTACTTATAAAATATTTCAATATCGTAGTTCGACTTCAAAAACGTACTTCGTGATCACTCATCCTCGAACACTGGCCTACCGTGTTTTTATTTTATTTCTTAAGTAATTACAGCAACGAACACAAATAATTCAGCCAAGCGTTGGTCGTTGCTTTACAGGGGCAAAGACATGCTCTGCCACAATTTGCAGGAAAAAATATTGGTCAGGGCAAGCCAAAACAGGCAGATAAAAATAGAAGGCAGACCTAATATATAAAGTCAGATTTTCATATTGCTCATAATAAATGCTAGAGAAAATTTAGTTCACAAACAGAATTATGAAACCTCATTTCATAGCCTCAAAGGCAATATTACGTTTAAAACTGTTCGGTTAATTTAAAGTAGTATCATTTGTTTTTGAGGTTAAAGGGATAGAGTATTTCAAAGGTATACAAACTCGTTTATTTGGCTGTATTTTGCAAGATGGTTCGTCACAAAGTGGTTCACGTAATCGTCGTAATGGCTCATCGGTTGCGCATTCTTGCGCCAACCACGTTTGCGGACGCATTGTCTACAGCTTGAGGCGTGTATGGGCAAGTCATCGATATTTGTGGCGTTTCGAATGGTTTCGAATTTTTCTTTAATCTATTTGATACCCAAAGATCAAATAATACAGCCATTTTAAAATCTTATGACTTTGGTGTAGGTACAAATTTGGCGATAAATGTACCCGACAGAAGTGAAAGTCAAAAAGCAAGAGTTTTTACTTACGTTTGGGAATTATTATTCCAGAAGCGCGTGTATCTCACAGAACGCAACGTTTTGGCGTAGTTTCACGGCGTTGTGAGGGGTATTTCAATAAAAAATACAGAAAAAAAAAGATTTAAAACAAGCCCTTGTTTTAAAACAAGACCTTTTTTCAGAATTAATAAAAAACCAAAACCCTACGCTGTCTTCATTGTATTTACTTTTTCTTTAGCACAGAGCATATTTATATAAGACACGGTTATCAGTCGCAAGGAGTGTTATTGCAATCAGATCAAAATATTCACTGCAAGAGAAGATTACTCCAATGAGTTTACAATAAAGTATGAGTACAGGTATGAGCTAGTTGAATTTTCTTTTTTTGTTTGAGCGTTTTTGGTATGACTGTTCTGCATAAGAATCTTGTGCAAATTAGCAGAACAGTATTCTTTACCCGTTTTCATGATGCCATTATCGAGTTCAGATTCAGATATTTTATTTGTAACTTCGGAAATAAAAAAATTTCAACAATAAAATTTCTGATTAATATCGAAATGCCAGGAGTCGTAAAGGACGAATTGCTTTGTCATCCGCTCTACAACACCTTGGTGTGATATCATATTCAGAAGCAGCTGAGACCAGTGTTCAATAGCTTCGAGTATACTTAAAATCTTTGAGTATACTTTCTGAAAAGCCTATAGCTAGTAAAGTTATTATAGCTGTCGAGTCTGAAATTGCTACGTGGATTCTGGCAAGTGGTTATCAACTTAAAACGAACGACCAGGCGGTACCGCTACCGGTAGTCTATATCGAGTCCACTTATTTGTTACTTATCGATCTTAAGATCGGTAAGTATATTGATAGGTATTTGTCTGTATGTCTGTCTGTCTGTCTGTCTGTCTGTCTGTGTGTGTGTGTGTCTGTTAGATGAACGCGATATTTCGCGAACGCGTTGTTGAATCTGCTCCAAATTTTGCATGTGCATGCATCTTACCTCGGACCAGAAGCCTATAGATTTTTGGTTAATTATGTCGTATAATTAGCGAGTTATTAACTAATTACCGATCTAAGATCGATAAGTCTTCGGTCTCCGACCGATATTCTCGTTTATATCTTATTAAATGAAACCTGTCTGATGCATTCTGTACTCCAAAAAAAGGTAATTTACTACAGAACAAATACGATTTCGTTCTAACATGAAAACAATTCTTTGCAGGCGACAGCAGCAAATCATGTACTACAGTTGAAAGTATTCCCATTCGGCGGCCATGGGGTCGACTATGGCTGCACGCAGCCATCATGAGTGGGCGAGATTTTCTTTATGCCGTAGAAGTAGTGCTAGTCACCCCAGTGCTGTTACAACTTGGTAAGCCATTTATACTCACGGGAACAACATTTTGAGCATGATCAAACAGAAAATTGTTGACAATTTCTGACTAAATTCTATTCTTTAAATTTCCAGGTGTTCCGGAGCACTTATACAGCTATATTTGGCTTTGTAGTCCCACAGCAGGTCTTCTTCTTGGACCCGTTTTCGGAAGTTTAAGCGATAGATGTAAATCGAGATGGGGCAGACGGAGGCCTTTTGTTGTCTTTTTTGTTATAATAACCATTGTGGCACTGACGTTACTGATATTCAGCAAAGACTTGGGTAGACACATTATTTTCGTAATGTTTTGATAGATTTCGGTACGGTTATGACAGTGAAGGGATACTTCAATGATAATTTGATAGGCTACAAGACCCTTCACATTCACAGTATGTGTGCGCGTAGAAATATTTTAATTCGGTCAAATATCAATTATATTTTCAACCCATCTTTTCGTGACTAAAACAATTTCTATGCGCAAACAAATACAGACTTTCAAATCGATATTTTATTTCTTGCCAGGCTAATTGTTATGCTTATGCTTATCAATTTTTTGATTTCATGTATTGTCGTGTGCGGTGACTTGCTGTTTCGTGTGTGTGAGGAAATTGTTATAATCCAGGCGTGTGCCAACCAAGGTTTTTGGGCCGCGGGCCAAAAATTTCGCCTATCTAGACTGGCGGGCCATGGAAATGTGACGCAAAAATTTACATTTTATGATCAATACTTACAGTGTTACAAAAGCAAAAATGGTAAACAATAGGCCTCATGCCAAAACTAAAATTAATCGCAATCTCAACAAATTCCTTGAGCTATTTGAGCATCGGGCGGGCAAAATTGAATTATCCAACGGGTCGGATTTGGCCCGCGGGCCGTAATTTGCACACCCCTGTTATAACCTGATAACAGTACGTCACGGGAATCAAAAATCCACTTTCTGTGATTATAAGCAACTCTTCCCAGTAAACCATTGGTATAATAATGTTTCTCAAATGTTGTGTGCTCATATATATTATTATTATTATACCATCATGTTCACTTAAATTTATCTTCTCTGACAACTCGTTGCGAGAGCTCTGGTCAATACTCAAAGAAACTACACAGCGATTTCAAGTTTGTGTTTCGTCATTACTTACCTTTTATTTTTACCCGAAACGGCCTATAACATGGAACATGTTCAAATACTTCCAAGAAAACTTTTTTGGGTTCCTCCACCAATAATATAAACACGTTCAATTATTTTTGCAGCATTGTTGTTTACCGATTCCCTAAGGGAACTGCGAATAATGGGAATAGTATTCGGGGTAATTGGTTCACAAGTGATGGACTTTTGCGTTGATCAGCTTGAGGGAATTCTTCACGCATACACACTTGATGTTTGTAGTGATCTTGACCAACAACGAGCTTTTACAATTCAAATTTTTTTTATGGGTGAGATTAGTTCCTATCTTGAATACGGATGAATATCTAAATTTGTATTTGAATATCGTTATTAGTGGAACATGCCATTGAGATGAAACCGGCAACTGGGGCACGGGTGTGATATCAGAGGAAATTTTCCATCGAATCCGACCAGGTTTCGACTTCAACTCCGAACTCACAAAAATCAATCTTTCTTGAACGCTCTGTAAATTCATTGCTTTATTTAGTTTCTTGGGAAAATTCTGACCTCCTTTATGTTTTATCACACCATCAATAATCTGGAATCCTGACTTCGATTCCGGTAAATTCGGAATCTCGACTCCGGGAGTTTGGAAATAAGACTCGCACTACAGTTAAGACATGCCAGACTCCACCGACCTAAAGTGGGAGTCGATTTCTTAATAATGCAATGTTCCCACAATATTGGTAAAGTGGTACGAAAGACTTTTATTCAGGTCTTTTATTTTCAAGGGCATGATGTAACACTCGCCCATTCAATCATTTATTACTCGTATATTTCCAGGACTTGGGGGATCACTCGGATTCATAGTTGATGGCATCAAGTGGAGAGACGTATTCCAATATTTTACTGTTGAATTCCAAACCAAGGTGGTGTACATATTTGCAGTCACAATTTATCTTGGTTCTGCGGCTATGACCTTATTCAGCATAAAAGAGCTGAGTTTGACGAGATCTCATTGTGACACTGAAAAGACTTCAATAGTTGCAGAAATGAAAAATGAACGCGATAACAATGTACCACTTGACAAGTTGGGAGAAAAGCCAAAGAGCGGTAGATATGTTTGATAACTCATAACCTCTATATTGGTGCGTGATATTCACGATTCCTATCAGACAAGCACAGCCCTTGTATGATATAGTTGCTGATATAGGAATCTATATTATGAAAAAAGCATTTGACGAAAATGGTCTTATGAACTGCCGAATTTCAGCTCCAACTTATTGGGAACAAAGTGGGCTCCTGAATCGTTTTGACAGAATCGTTAGCTGTCGGTGGGAAAAACCAGGATTTTCTCTTAAATAATTTTTAAATATTCAGTAGTTGAACTGTACGACATTTTTTCATCAGTTAATTAGGTCAAAAAGCAGTGATCAATTAGGTAATATAGAGTACGAAAATCCATAAATTCCGGATACTTTTCATTTTCGCTTTGGTGACATCACAAATAATTTCTCCACTTGAGCAGATAATGAAGAAACATCGGCCTCTATAGGAAAGCTGTGGTCTTCGATTTTCACTATGCCTGCTGAACTACGTTATCTGTGTTTGTCCTTATTATCCAGCTATACGGGAATCGAAGTTTTACTACTCTGGTACACAAATATATTTGGAAGCGTGGTCTATGGAGGAAATGCTACGGTATGTCTTCAGTTATTTGGAAAATATAAAAGATGTTCATTCATTTACTGTGAACAAGAATCTGTACTTTCCGTACAAAGGCTATTAGTTGCCTTGAAAGAGCCAGGGTCTAAAATTCTATATTAATAAATACCATCGCATAATGCCGTACAAACGTTTCTACATTGCTGAAGGTACATTTTTTAAGAACGTTCTGCTCTAGTTATGCTCGTAAAGTAAACCTAGAAAGTAATGGAAAACAATCGGATTCATATTTCTTTCTTGATTTCTGTATGACTTTTCCACGTTGAACTAAATTCAAGTACGATTGCAGACTGAATTTATTTTTTTTTATCAAAGTTTGTATTATTATGATGTAAATCTTGTTGGTACAGGCCCCCGTAAATTCCACGGAGTTCAAATTGTACAACGATGGAGTTCATGCAGGATGTTGGGGTTTGACAATGTATGCTCTGTCAATGCTTTTATTTTCTGGCAAGTTTTTGATATATCCTGTTGTTGTGTTCAATATTATTAAAGCTAAAATGTGAATTCCCGTAAAACATTATATTACAATGTAGATTTGTTATATAGTAAGATTATTAAGTATTATTTAGTATTAAGCGAATAATGTACAGCAAATAAAGGGTAACCCCCATAAAACAAAATCCAGGTCATTTGGGACATATTCTAGTCTAGAGAGAACATAACTTTCGTGCAAAGCGTCCCCAAAACAGAAATTCTAGGGTTAAATAAATTATTTTCATTCTGGTAGAAGTAATTAGGAAATTTATGTGTTTTGTTTTTGGGGGATTGGTCAACTTCTAATTATTTTAAACTCGTGTATTTTTGATTCATGACGATTTATAGTCTCTACCTGATACTAATCTATATTTATAATATTTCCAGTGACTTTAGAATACTTTGACATCTTCTCCAAGATATCCCAACGTGTCGTTTATTCCGGAGCTCAATTAGTGACAGCTATTTCCGCGGCTGTAATGTTTGTATTCCCGTATGACTACGTTATGTATCTTTCGAGTTGGACCATTGGAATTACTGTTGGCGCTGCTCACACTCTCCCATTCATTTTAGTTGGAAAATATCATCGAGATGAAAAGGTGATTAAACGTACGATTTCGACCAGCTTTAATGGAACAAAATTGCCATTTCTGATAAAAATTCGGCGTGAGAAATCGGATAACATCACAAGAGGGCGCTTAATTTTTAAATCAATTGCTGCCCTTTTTCGTGCTTGGGTAAACGTCATAATTTGTACTGGTATAACAAACGTTAACATAAACATAAAATGGTTTAACAGGACAATTTAGGAATTCATGAATTAGGGCGATTAGATCCTGGGAAATGTTAAAAGAGACTGTAGCTCAGAATCCGAGTTGCCAAAAATATATATTTCTCCGTATACCGATTGCAGGGTAAAAAAAATCCGACTCCAACTACAAGATACCCATATTTGCATCATAGAGCCTAAGACGTGAATTCGATTCTGTTAAATATCTTCAGATAACTTGGTGTCTTATTGGTTAATATTAAAAAATTTGACTTTTTCTTCCGCTTTGAAAATATGAACCTGTGACTTCGAAAACTAATTTGGATAAGTTCACCCCGGTTCCGACTAGGAAACGTTAGACTCCACTGCCTTGCCTAACATAGTCAAAGAAACTGCCAGAAAAACCTGCTTGATCTACGATACTTATAATGCCCATGTGGGTCTAACGTTGAACCTATTTACCAACTTTTACTCGGCAATTCAGATACTGTATAGTGTTTACATTAATGTTTCATTTCAACTTACAGTATGTGACAAAAAGTCCAGGGAATACAAGGCGAGGATACGGGATCGATTGTGCGATACTTGCTTGCCAGATGTATGCAGGGAACATTGTTTATGCATTGATAAGTGGGCCCATAATTGCCTATTATGGAAATTCAAGAATAATGATGTTGGTTGCTTCAATATGCTTTACAATTTCCTTTATGCTATGCGCCATTATGGTTAAGTATCCCGGGGAACAAAGTTGCCATCTTTGCAAGATGCGAAGCACAGAAGATGATTCTTGACCAACACGTATTTTTTGACCCCTGTACGAATTTATTGAGAGTACTGTTAAAACACTTTTGTTGTTAGTTGTTCGTACTTATTAATTAAGCTACCTTTAGAAAGACGACCCTACCTCTGAGAGTTTTTCCGGCTCCCTCACTATCCAAACTCTTAATATTTATTTGTATGCCTCGAATTAATATTAATAAAACATATGCAGCATGGCCACGAAACCCTTTTCGTAGGCTGTCAGTGATGCAGCCCTCGTAAGAAAGCTTATACATTATTTGTACTAGGTGCGACCTCGAACTTTTTACCAACAAATAGCGAAATTTTCAAATTCCCCATTTTTCTATTAAACTATCAAATGTTTACAATTTTATTTTAATAAACTCTTGAACCAAGTCTTCAAATTTTTGTCTCGAGGGAAAAATTCTTTCTATCCTTCACGTTTTTACCATATTAAGAATTAGCGAACTCAATCACCCAATTGCTTACTCAAAACGTTTTTAAATTTGTTTATTAAAAAGGAAAGAGTATAAAATTAAGAAAATCAATATGTATTGCTAAAAATAACTATAATGATTTTTCAATCTTGAACTGTTAAATATTATTATTTTTGATCTTTTGTTTGCGCAAAAAATAATAATCTTGTTTGTTGACAGACGTTTGGTAGTGGCAAAGCGAATAGTGTATATATAGTTTATTTATATTAATCTCAAATGACAGAACCCACATCGAGCCCATTGTCAAAATTTCTTCCAAAAATGTAAATCTGTCCTTCCGCATATAATTGATCTAGAGCAGGGATGGCGAACCTTTTTCAATGAATGGGTCAAAAATTATGATTCTATCGCGGAACAGAAGAGAGTGGGTCGCAGATATATGATCAATGTTTGTATCTATAAGAAACTTCTGAAACAAATCTTTTCGGCTTCTGTTGGTGTAGTTTCAGGCTTTACTTATGAAGCACTTCTATCAGGGACTTTTTATGGCTCTCGATTTTATGAAATTAGAGTGCAAAAACACGCATATGAATTACCATAAACGTTTAGGATGATGCGGTAAATTTTTTTTTACGGTTTCAAAGAGTTTGGAGGGAATCCCACCCTGACAGTGTTCTATTTTTCAATCAACTTTCAACCTCATTAAGGCACTTTTACACTGCCCCATTGTTATTTCAGATTTCCAGGCTTTTATTTCAAGTCTGAAAGATTTTGTTCTCTTAACGGTATTGTGGGTGATAGGCTTGCACGTAATTTACAGATTTACGGAATTACGGAATTATTTCGAGTTACGGAAGGGAAGTTACGAATTACGTAAAGTCGTAATTATTGGTCGAGCGCTTTCGCGATTGAAACGAGCTCTCTTCAAAGCAGTCAATTCCGTCGATTGTAAAAAGTGAAAGTTTAAAAAGAAGTTAAAGCTTCGGTATTTGCAGCCGTTTTTCTCACTTTTCTCTCTCTTGCCAATACGTCACCGTGATAATTAATGTCGCGCTTATCAAACAGCAATATGACGACGGAAGAGAAATTGCGTAATGAACCAACGCAACTTCGTCTTTTCGGCATCGGTAAAGCGATTGAGACGGCAGAGAAACAACAATATGACGGGATTTCCCGCGATCCGGTAAAAATCCTTTGCGGACCGTTGACAGTCCGCGGACCGGCGGTTGGGAAGCACTGTTTAAGAATACTTAAATCGAATCCAGAATCCTATTCTATTTTTATAGTTACCGTATTTAAATAGTGGGATTTCTCCACCACAATGATTGGAATTAAAAAAAAAAAGCTAAATTGTAGCCTAAATGTTTAATGTATAACTATCTTTATGCAGTATTTAATTGAAAATGTCCTGATCATTGGATTATATTTAACCAAGGCAACGAGATTTAAGAATTTCGACGATCGTTTTTTGTTTTGTTTTTAACAGTTCAATATTCTCAATTTAACTACTATCAAATATCAAGTATGAGCCAGTGTGTTTATTCTGTGCGAGAACCATTTTCAATTACGAAACCTTGATGTTCTGTTACCGGTTTTATCGTTTTATATCAGTCCGGACTTGTCCTTGCTCAATATATTTTCCACAATGCCTCGCAATATTTCGGCCAAATATGATTAACTGTCTTTACCAAATGCGGCAACTTATTTTGATTCTTGAAAACCACCGACACTCGACCAAATTTGTGTCAATCTTGGCCGATAGGATCGTCGACTTGAGTTAGAAAAATAAGTTAATTTTTTCGTGCGTGCAAAATAAATGTCACAATATTTTTTTGCGATATAACTTTGTATTTTCGGAAAAGCCATATCATTTAAGTACGGTATTTAAATTATGCGCAAATAATTAATATTTGATCTAAATTTGTTGCAAATAATGTTACAACATTTAGGCCGCGACATGATTTAATGTAAAATGAAGCATGGTAATCGGAATAACGTCAATAAGTCGGCATCAATAATTATTATAAAATGCTGACTAGGTAGTAAAGTCGAATAATGTTAAAAACGGTGCAATAACAAGTCTTCGTCGCCAGGCAAGAGCAAGTATTATCAAACGAGAGAATACGCTCGTCATGGCATTGATAAATTGGAAACCCGACATTTTTTTGAATACAATTTAAAAAAAGTCAACTATCGTTTCATAAATATCCGTATACCAGTGTCGGTAATGATAAAATTGATCGCATAAAATTGGGACGGTTAATTTGCGAAGGTGATAAAGGAAATCAAAGCTAGCACAAAAGATAACAATCAGAATAAAATTAATTTGAATTCACTCTTGTCTTAACATCTGTCACCGGCGTGTAGTACTGCCAGGAATATGAAAACCCAAACTCGATGTCCCAATCGAAAAGGAAGGGGATTCAATTGGTTGTTATGATAGGTTTAAGTGTGTGAAAAAATATCGCAATTACGGGGTCATTACGTAACCGATTTGGCCGTAATTACGGAATTGATTTTTGTCAATTACGCGCAAGCCTAGTGAGAAACTAATAAAATACAAAGTAGCATCTAGTTCTCGCATAACCCCTAAAACAGTCTGCAGATAAACTTCCGAAAGAGACCAGACGTAGCGACAAATTAACATATCAGTTGCATTGTTGGGTCATAAACGATGTCAGAGCCAATAGCTGAATAATGGTTCACAGCGGTGCAGACATGCGTCCAAGATTAGGGGTTTTGAAAATTACCATACCGGCCCGAAATTAACAATTTGAATGTGAGCCCTCGCGGCCCTGTCTGCCCAACTGACGTTATATTATAATAGTTTAGGTATTGTTGAATTATTTTAAGGCCGGTTTTATCAATTTTTATCACTGATATGTTAGCATTTTTTTTATTATTTTATTCGTGCTTTGGCGGGTCACGAATAAAACGCGGTGGGTCACTTTGTGACCCGCGGGTCAGTGGTTCGCCATCCCTGATCTAGAGCAAAGTGTCCCCTCGCGTTATCTTGTGCCTGAAATCTTGATTCATATGTTTCAAAAAGCGGAGTCCGATGCCTCTGCAGTGATCTTAATAATTTGTATTAAAAAGACACAAAAATTTCTGATAACAAGAAAATAGACTTGTTTGGGCTCAGATTATACAATTTTCATTAAGTTGATAATCTATAGCGCTGGAAACTATGAAGCTGTAATGGCGTTTGCTCATTCCTGGCGATTTACATGCAGAATTCCTAGGGAAATTTCCAGTAGTACGGGATAAAGTACTGAAACAGGCGCTCCAGCGTAATTAAGTATAAATCTCACAAAAAGAGCATGCAAAGGTGTCACTGCCCGTGTTAATGTAAGGAGAAGAAAAACCCGAATTCTGGCAACTGGTTCATCGCGTGCCATTTTGCAAACGTTTGCGTGAACAACACAAAGGTACATAACGTCTCTAAAACTTGAATTTATGACATATCCGGCGAATACATAATAATAGTTGTGAAAGTAGAGTCCATACGAACAAAGGGCGTCTCCAAAATCTGAGGCAATGATACTCACTATTAAAACATTGTGTTTTCTTTTGATTCTATCCAAAACTCGTCCTGCTATTATGACAGTCACCCATCCCGCACCGTAAGCAACACAGAGCATCATTGACAGCGATTTGTCTGTCTTCTCTGGAAAAGATTGCAAAACGACTGATGATGACAGAATGCAGATGAAAGGTGCTCCTCCCAGAAATAAAATGTACTCAACGAACATCAGCATGAAAGTAGGTTCCTTAATAACTTCCCATGTTTTCTTAAAGTCTTTGAGCGGGTCAAAACTTGATGTATTTGTCGAGGTTGTACTTTCAACGTGTCCTGGTGGGTAGTCTGTAACATAAAATTGCGTCCAAGCGAAGAAAATGAGCGCCACGGAAGCAATAGTAAAATAGATGCACAGAAACGTAGTTCTAAAAACTGTCATCAATGTTTCATCTACTGTAATTGTTATCGGTTTTGAAGAATTAAAGTTATCACTCTGTGTATATTGAAAGGTTTGTGTAGCAACTATATTCGACACAAGTCGAGCTGACGTACGACTAACCCAGACGAATGAGGTTGCTGTAGCTCGTTCGTTTTCTGGAAACCAGTTATTAGACATCATTTGCGTCGATGGAATTGATATAGCAGCTCCCATCCCGTTGAGCATTTGACCAATGGCTACCATAGCAAAATTGGAGCGAGCGAAAACGCCTGTTGATACCATTATCGCACCAGTAAATGCAGTAACAAAGCCCATCATTGACAACAGTCGTAAATTAATATGCTCTGCGACAATACCAAGAGCAAAACCAAAAAGCCCTCTTGTTATATGATAGAAATCGGACAGTAAATCGACCACACCCGGATCTTTATGAAAGTATTCTGATACCACATCATTTATGTAACCAAAGATACCCACATTGAAAATTTCCATAAACATTATCAAACATATTATGCTCAGGATGCCCCATCGTTTGTTGTGTTTTTTCACGCTTAAACCATCTGGTAACAGATCGGATAAATCAATGAGTTGAGCTCTCTCGTCTTCCAGGCTCTCATAACTTGATTTTGTGGAACTGATATCACTCATAGTATACTTTTTTTTACATACTGTTAGAAGAAACAAAGAAATAAACATATAAAACTCAATTCAAAAAATAACTCGTCGTTCTTACACCTGCTATTCTACCGGTAGTCCTACCAGGTCAAACATGGGTTTATGTCATTTGCGCGAAAATGTTATCACAGAAACCCGCAAGTCGGGACCAACGACTAACATTCCGGTCGGGACCGACAAAACTGCATTCTCGCGAAATTGCTTTCGCGCAAACCAACATTCTTGCAACAATGATTGTTGTGGCAAAAAAACATACTTGCGGGTTGTCTGCTCCTATAATATGCCATGGTTCCTAGACGTAATATATATCTTTATATCACTTATCCTTTATACGCACGCCTGATTATGTCAAACTTTGATAAATTAAAAACCGTAACTCAGGCGAAGAGACTGTCTATATTATTTGAATGAAATGTAATGAACGTAAGGAACATACAAGGAAAATTGTACTTCATTAATAATCTTCTTCCCAACGGTAATCAACGTCTATGTAGGACGAACGGAAATACGATAAGTGCAACGACTGAAGTTTCATGCGAACAACTGCACCGATTAAAATAGACAGAAAACGTTTAGAATCTGCTTATGTTAGACCTAATGAAATACAACAAATTCAATTTATGCCGAAATTTCGTTGGGCGTATAGGTTCGGAGTATATATCATAATTTGTGTAATATTTATGAAATTTTATTGAAACATTAACAAATTAATGCGTTAGTTTGAACATCAAGCTACCCTGGCGTCTGATATTTCAAAATTGAAGATATTTGAGTGCAGTTGTAACGATAGTAGTGATGTATCCAGCGATGGATGGATTTCCTATCTCATTGAGAAAGAACGATTCATTCAGATTGATGACGACAAAGATGAAAAGCCGTTTATGACATCATATTAAAGTACTGAAGACAAATATCCCACTCATTTTGTAATTAAATTATATTAACCAAAGCTAAACGAAACTTGGTATTAAATATTGTTTGCGGCGCTGTGTGAATGTATATGCAATCAACTACCGGTATTTGAATCCAGTTGTGTAAGGATCATACGGCGTACAGTTTACTTTATACTAATTAATGTGTTTAATGCGTAAACGTACTAACGGAAATAATAGATCTCCAAATACCAACGGTAAATCTAAACTCCGTGGAATGAAGACTTCAGTTCTGCCTCGATAGGAAGTAGATCATTAATTAGAATTGAAAAATATTAAAGTGTAGAGCCAAGGCGGACCGTACGAGAAACACAAAACTAAGATTTTGAATACATATATAAACCATATTTGCTTATACCAATCTTTAACTTGGCCTGCGATTGGCCAAGGGCAATGTAAAGTGTAGGTGTTCAGCATAAACGCAACCAGTGAAAACTTAAAATTGGAAATGACACGTAGTAAGTTTGACAAAGTTTATTGCAAAAAACTACTATGCAAAAGGCTAATATTAAATTTACAAAACCCTCATTTCACAATGCTACAGATAAAACAATAATTTACAAGTTGCAAAGTTTGAAAACTTCTCAAAATCGGTATGTGAAGTACAAATGAATGGTATGAAAAGTCACAAAACAAATAAAGACTCAACATACGTACATGACACTGGATGACAACAATGAAGTTCCATTATGAGAAACGACAATAATGCTCTTAATATTTTGAAGGTAATAGCATTAGCATGAATACCTAATTATAAGGGGTTTAACAGATTAACAAAACTAGTTCAAGTCCACCGTTACGTACAAGATAATCAAGCATACGACTCACATTAAAGATAACTGTGTATGTGGCAAAACGGCGTACAGGGCAATGCGTTATAATATTATAAAAACGAGTACGCAAACTCTTTTGAACTACGTCTAATTCGACAAAATTATAATTATGACTTATAATAGTAACTATTTTACGGAACCAGCTATAAAACGAATGTTGCGTAGTCTATTGTCAATTAAATACTGTTTTGCCTAATTTTAAAATATTAAAAAAGTAATATCTTCATAAAAATCTACATTGTTTTTAGAGAAGTTGTTTATTAATTACCCAATCTTTATTGCTAAGGCGTTTGAAATTACTTTATTTTTGTGAGACAATATCGGGCTGGATCAGGCATTTTCTACCACTGTTAAATTTCCTCTTGCTTCTTGGTCCAGTTCAATGGCTTCAAAAAGGGATTTGAAATTTCCAGCGCCGAATCCCTGAAGTGGAATATATATAATATGTTAAAATAAAAAAAATACAAGAGTGTCGTACATCAAAGTACCGGTACGCATTCAGTGCCGTTCGCTGAGTAGTGCTCGGAGGAATAAAGATAAAAAACCCGTGTGGTGACGCAATTGATAGAATAGGATTTAATATTTATCACGGGGAGAGGGAACGCCGATAAGACGGTTTAATCATATGGCGAACCACGCCTCTCGTCCGGTTACCAGTGCATGTCGGGTATGGGATTAGTTAGCAAGGTATTTGTTTTCGGAAGCATGGACTTTTTACCAAAACCTGTAAAATGTGGGACCTAACAAAGGAGCCTAAGAGATTACAAATGAAACTTAAATAACTACATTTTATTATCTTCTATAAGACATTAGCATTGATAACTACTGATTATTTGAAGTTATTGGTTGGTCCACGTAGAAAACGATCTCCAGTACATTTACGTATCCATTGAGGCAATATGCTTTATTGAAGTATTTTTTTAGTTCTATCCCTCTCTTTCTCTTTGATCGAGAACCTGCTTTAAGCAATGCTACATGAGGTAATAGTGAATGCTTACCGAGTGGTTGTGACGTTGAATAACTTCCATAAAGAGAGTTGGGCGATCCTGAACTGGTTTGCTGAATAGTTGCAGTAAGTAGCCGTTTTCGTCAAAGTCAACAAGAATACGTAATTCCTGCGATACAATATGATAATAATATAATGAGGGAAGAAAATGAATGCTCCATCACATTTTTCAAATGGCATTTTCATACGACTACGAGCCGTAGTCGGAATTTTCACAGTCGGGAGTCAATATTTTGAATTCTTCGGAGTTGATGATATTTTTAATGATGATAATAAAAGTCAAAATTTTCTTCGGAAACTCGAAATGCGTCAAGTTTACTAAACATTCTTAACAGTCTATTAACAGAGGCTTGCATTAGCCAATGCTTTTCTTATCAAAATTTGATTTTCTCAAAGTTCGAAGCTCGAGTCTGAGTCGAAATTTTACGATCCGGAGTCGGGGTCAATACCGTGTTTTACATACATTAATTCAATATGATATTTAATAATACCATCTGATCAGCGGTATTGGTGAGTTTTGTATAGATATGAAAAACTGTAATGATCAAGCATACCTGAATAATATCAAGATCTTCTTCCACAGTGATCTTTGCGTTTTTCAAATTTTGTCTCAATTGCTTGTAGTAAGTATCCGGTACCGATAAAAATTCTAATCCACGAGCTTTCATATTTCGAACCTGGAATTAAATTAATAAATTAATAAATAAATAAACAGAATCGTCGCCAGTGATCACATAATATATTCCGAGTTTGCCAGAGCGAGCAGTTCTCGATGTCTCAATGATAGAGCACCCTCGCTATGGTTCTCATTGAAATTTATAAATGTGGATTATAAACTGACTCCGGTAAAATTCTGTCGTTTTTAATTTTATTGCTTCTTCACACACAATACGGGTTTACAATTAACGCACAATGAGTCCGCAAAGATTTTCCCTGGTGAGAAAATAGTCCGCGACTAAAAAAGGTTGGGAAACACTGCTCTAGAGTCTAGAACAGGGTGGTCCAAATCCAGGCCCGCGAGCCCCATGTGGCCCGCGGCTTCATTATCTATTGCCCGCGTTGCAATTGCGGAAGGGAAACAAAAAATCGAACAAAACAAAATTTGGTGTTGTTTCGTCATAATAATAACCAGAAAAATATTTTGACCTATTGTTACTTCACTAATTATTGTCTTTGAATTGACTAGTGTTGTTGCTAGATGAGGCAACCAGCAAAGTTGAATAATGTGCTTGACTATAGTCTAAATTGTCAACTGGCTTTCTATCTTTTGGGCCGGGAATATATGCTAGCAAAATAGGCTTCATAAATAACTAAAAATCGAATGCAGATTATATTAGCTTAGGTTGGCTATGCATGATAACTAAATATTAATGTTATGGCCGAACAATATAATTTCTGCTGGGTGGATTTTCGCAATCAGCCCAAACGGTATTATAAAAAATGTTGTCAGAAAATTTAGTAATTACCCTCCTGTATTTCAAATTTGGTAAAATTCGATATTCAATCAATCTGCATTTATTTATAAGTTACACTCTTGTGGCCCGCGAACACATCAAAAATAATAGTGTGGCCCGCGAGGCCATCAACCTTGGACCACCCTGGTCTAGAATATGTGCGAAATACCCTGTTTATTTACGGATCACCCAAACTTTGAATTTTTCTTTTCCAATAGGAAAGATCTTGCTTTACTTACGCATCGCCTATTTGGACATCTATATGTTGTTCACGGCTCCATTATGTTTGCACCCGTAAATTGCACACAAGACAATTGCACCTGCATACTTTTGCACCTACGGACATTTGCACCCATGAACAATTGCATTGCACCCATACATGAATAGATGCAAATGTTCATGAGTGTAAATGTCCGTGGGTGCAAATGTACATGGGTGCAAACGTACATGGGTGCAAATGTTCCTGGGTGCAAATGTACATGGGTGCAACACATGCGGGTGCTAAAATCTAATGTCTAAAATCTAATTCAAATATACGTGGGTGCAAATGTGCTGTCACCATTGTTAACTCATTTTACAGTACTTTCATTTTTCTATTTCACTCAGTTTGATGGCACATCAAATTCGGCATTTTTAGTTTTAGTTTTTTTTTTAAACTTAATCGTATATTCTCACCGCAGTAATGACATCCGGCGTGTTCATTGCTATATGTTGGACTCCAGCTCCCCCGTTGTATTCGCAATACTCTTTGATTTGACTTTTTCTTTTTCCAAACGATGGTTCGTTCAACGGCATTTTGATGGTTTCTTCGTGGTTGGTAACGACGACAGAGTTCAGGGAACTGTATTGCGTGTGAAGCATAGAATCGTCTATCGACCAGAATCGATGGAAGAGAAGATTTTTAACGTACCTGGTGAAAAAATAGGAGTAGCTTCGTGTTGGCACAGACTTTTAACTAACAGTATAGCGGATTTTGCTCAATAAATTTGCAACCCTACTATCAATTAGGGTTACCCGAGACTATCTTTCCTATTTGATCCGGTTGCGTTTAATGCAAGAAAACGATGACTATATCATGTACATGGACTATATCATGAACTTCTAAATGCAACCAATTGACTACTGCTATTTTCTAGTATTATTTTTTTCGCTTGTCCTGTTTAGCGTAAGTGTGGTATTGAAGTTTAGCACAATTTTTACTGGAGTCAGAGCCAGGGTTTCAAACTACCCGGAGTCGGAGTTTTGAAGTCCGCGGCGCCTGGAGTCGAAATTCCATGTTTTCAGTGGTAATAGTAAAGTAGATAATATTAGTCGAAATTTCTTACAGGATTCTAAAAAGCAAGGTTTATTAGGAGTTCTTAACAGTCTCCTAAAGAAAGCTTGCATACACAAAAGTTTTATTATCGAACGATGGTTTTGTTAGTTCTGTGAAGTCAGAGTCCAATTTTTTTTTAAACAGGAGTCGATTGTGAATTTTTCTCGACCCCACAGCCTGGTTTCATGCAAGAGCGAAAATTACATTACAGTTTTCGGGGTCTTCATAACCGCAAAACAGGACTTCAGTGGCCATTAACACGCATCTGTAATGTCTATTGTGACGTAACAAAATCTGTTCTCACAAGCAAAACAAACTTACCAATCTGCCATTGGAGTCATTTCATTCTCTGGTTGATTACCTACCACGTGATCAATGAATCTAAGATTCGGTTCTGGCCTGAATGTATTTAAAAATATATATATAAGAGGATATACTGTGATAGCAAGAGTAATTCTCATAATGGCTAATCGTCCCATACTTTTTGTGACTATTCGAAACAAATTTGCATATCTCTAGATAATATTCAGAGAAGAAAATGAAAATAGTGCTATGGTTATTGTCTGGCTGTGGCAAATGAAATGAATCAAAAATTTGCCAACAGCGTCACTACTTGTCTATAGCCTAATTTGGAATAATGATGTGCTACAAAATATCTCAGAATCACTCACAGGTTGTCGTAGATTTCCGGTTTGAATAGAGGTGCTTTAAACCCGGGTAAAAACAGTCCGTTAAAGTTACTTCGTTCTATAAAAGTGTGTGTTGTATCGCCGTACGTCTGAACAGTTGCCATTTTAACTGTGCCGTTTTCATCTGACTCTTCCCACAAGTCTTTGACGATTATTGCTCCTCTCTCCTTTGCTTTCTAAAAAGAGTAAATAGCTAGTCAAACTACTTCAATATGAATACGGTTAGAAATGAAATTATCTAAGTGTTGTATTTAGTGGATACTCGAACAGAGCCTTGCTCAGATTGAAGCTTTAAAAATAAAGACTGAGGAGTCTGAAAAAATTTACAATTGACTCCCGACCCCAGACTTAAAAATACGGGGTTTGACTCCCGTATACGGATTAGGAAAAATTTTGACTCCTACTCCATCTCCAAACTCAAATTTTGATAACGGAAACTATTGCGCATGCAAGCCTTTTTTAATAGACTGTTAAGAGCAATTAATAAACGGATTTTCTGTTTCTGATGAAAATTTCGGCATTTTTTATTTATAACCATCAAATGTGGAAAATTCTGAGTTCGACTTCCGATTCGGGGAAATTCAAAATTTTGACTCCGACTCCGGTCGATTTGAAAATGCTATTTGAGTTCTCACTCCGGTGAAAACATTCCTAACTCCGACTTCATAGCCCTGAGAGATTTCAAGCTTTCATTTTCACATTTCGATAGAATTTCGCAATCTTACTTTAAACACAATCAACTCCCGAAACACGATCTCATTATTGGAATTTGAAACCAACTCAGATAAAGACTTCTTGGAATTTCTAAACATTGCGTACGTGATTATTTGCAACGTTCTTTGCAGCAATTTTAAACCACCGCAGTGTATGTTAGTTACACTGGATAATAACTTTTGACCATTTTATGAAAGCTAAAGTGCGTATTATTTCTCCATTTATGAACACAAAAATCACAGCATACTATTTATTTACTTAAAAAAATCATTCATTTAAACCTGATTTTCTAAAATACGTTAATACGAATTCCAGAAAACATAGATTCACCCCATTTAAAACTTTCTTATAATCTGCCGGTATCAATGAACATACTCATATATTATTTCTCTAATATTGTTCGGTTGTCAAAATATATTATTTCTGTTCAAAAAAAAGGCAACTGATTACGATGTAAAAAAAGTACAAACCTGAACTAATATTTCACAATTTTCTACGGTGAAAGCGATATCCTTCACTCCGTCACCGTGTTTTGAAAGATATGACGCCATGACCTCGTTTCCGGGATTCAGCGGCGAAACAAATACAAAGATAATGTCATTTTGTCTGAATTAAAATATCAATATTATAGATAGAATGATTTTGCAAATTCTGCAGATTGAAAGAAGCACATGCCTTCCTACATTATCATGTTGAATGAACTATTAACGTTTTATACTCACTTCACCACGTGTGAAACAACATCCCTGGTTCCTGTTTCCAATCCTTTGTAGGCAAACGGTTTGAAACCCATGTGCATGCAATAGAAATCAGCAGCCTGTAACATAACGTTAATAATATAAAAGTTAGAAAAAGACAGAAAATGGAATTATTTGCTTAAAAATACACTTTTGATGTACAAACCTGTTTTGCATTTCCAACCCAAAATCGAAGGTGGTCGAAGCATTTGAATTTTGCATTTTCATGCTGTAATTAAAATGATGAATTGATATAATATACATATATAAGTTTTAGAGAAAAACGTTATCGATATTTTGGCAGAGCAATACTGCAAGTTCCACTTTAGTATGCGATCTCGATCTCACTTGCTTAACGTTATCTCAATCGCATACCAACATTATCATATAATTAAAATGAGATCGCATACCAAAGTAGCATCTATGCCGTCTATATGGCTGCACAATTTGCCTTCAAAGGAGAAGGCCATTGAAATGGCCCATATACTCGGGGTTGTTTCAGACCTGCAATGTATTGTGCATTTGTTTCACTGAGATTATATCACACACAGAACCTTTTGAGCACCGGAACATCAACAAAAATCGTAACTAATTTTGTGACTCACTTTTTCGCCTTTATCGGTGTGGTAGCTCTGAAAACAGAATGTTAGAATATGTTAAATATGTAGCCAATTGAGATAAAATTAATCATCAATGAAACTCGTGTAAAAGCCAGCCCAAGTGTGACACGTTAGAAGACCTAAGAGTGATGACATTAATTCGTCAAGTAAAATGTATGAATTGATTAACGTTTGAATTGATTACTTGCTTGAAGAATTTGCAATAAATATTATTTTAACTCACCATGTTGTCAAATTTCGTAATTCAATTTACAAAATAAAATAGATTAAAATCTAAAACAGAAGTAAATTTATCACAATCTGAACCGTTATATGTCGAGAATGATTCATACATCGAGTCATATTAGTTTTGATGTAATTTTATTAGACAGTCAATCTGCGGTATGACTTTTGCAAAGATGCCGTACGTTGCATTATACGCAAAAATGATTTGTTTTTTTGTACTCTCTTGTACGCATGTTTTTAACAGTATTACAAATATTTATACTCCGGAGCCGAACAACAAATCCCAAAGCGTAGCCTTTGCTAGACAAACAATAATATCGTTGTAAATCCGTAAACATGACTAAGTGAACATGACTCATCAACATGGGTCTTATTTGTGGAAACATTTCCTTAATTTGTTTGGTGAAACGACCAAGACCTTGTTGACAATAAGATACACACGTTTTTTCCCATTCATACTACAAAAATGTGGATTCATATTGATCGAAAACACCGAAATGACTTAAGGAGAAAAGCTTCATAACCCGGAAAGCGTGCTTATGGTATTTGGGGATAAAATAAGCTATTTTTCAAACTTAGTTGCGATTATATTACTATATTCCGATATAGTTTTCGGTTAAATCTTTTGAGCATTGTGATAATACATGAATATAAGCGAGAACACAATGACATACTCGTTAATCTTACCGGAAAATAGTTTATTTTATAGTTTTTTTTGCCTCTGATTAAATTTTCGTGGTCTAAACTCAGCTCAGCTTGAATAACTGAAGTATTGTTCTGAGGTTAAATCAATTACCGCACCTTGGAATTACATTTAATAACACGCTTCCAAAGTCACAGTCCGACTTAAACATAACGGTATACTCGTAAATTAAATAACCTTTCCTTTATCAATTAGCAAGCATAGCGTAATGTTGCCATAAGCTTTCAAATGCCAGACATTTAATTCTGATCTGCGTACCGTTACGATACTGAACTCGTACAACCTCTTCCATGTTCAGGTGCATTTCATTACAGCAATTAAATCAAATTATCTGGAATTCGTCGTCTTACATAGAAATTCATAAAAATTATAAGATTTAGTTGGATTTCATGCCCCAAAGCGGGAATTGTGATAATTTGATCACGCGTGCATCGATTCGAACGTTAATAATATTCATGTCTCACACGGCGGAAGTTTCTCATATTGTGTCACTTTATAGCACAGCCTATCAAATTATATGAGCAATTTGACAGCTTTGTAACCTCACATTTGCAAACCAAACTAATCTATTTTATCGGCCAAAGCGGAGGCGGAGCTGTGCCTCAGAATCAATTTAATCTAGATTTGAACATTTCACATTTCCACACTAAATTGCTGTTTATCACTATCACTCTTGTTTTTGAATCATTTTTTCATAAAACTATGCTACCATTCAATAAATTGACTAACGTTTACCAACTTTTAAACATCAAAAGAACGGTTATATCTTAACACGACCCTAGTACCGTTATATCGGCAGTAGAATTGGCACACAGACCGCTTCGTCACGAGTCTGAATTGTGTTTGTGCATACATCCGCTTCAAGACATTGCGAAACACGTTCTTTTATACAAAAACAGCTGGGAAGACTCGCAATAGAAACCGATTCAATAGAAAATTATAACAGAAATCTCCAATTACAGGTTATAAGTAGTTCGAATGTGCCAGGCGTCCTTCAAAACAGTCAGTCGTACTCATGGGCACAGACTCCTTTATCGGTTTTGATTCGCTGACGACGTGGGCGTGCTTGGTGTGACGCAATATGTGTGTGTCATCGCATAGTTCAGAGCATAACAATTACACCGGACATGGAATCCTATAGTACAAAAAGATCTTAAACCAGGCCCGACAAAAGCGTGATTATTTCATTAAGACATGTATTACGAACCTATCCGTAACACTAATCAGGGAATATCGATTGTATAATAACATATAATGGCCTAGTGTCTAAAGCTGGTACAGCACGATTGCCGGAACACGTCACGTCATATAACAAACATATTTTATATGTGGTAGTTATATTAGCGAGAAAATGTTAGTAAAACTTGGTGTGATTTGACGGAGAATTGACTTTATATTAAATTTGGCAACTGGGGACATCCTATACGATGTTAAAACCAACGTTGTTGCGTACTTTATCTATCGATGATGATATTATAGGTTAGAGACCATAAATTCGATTTCTTGAGAGTCAAGCCGTAGACCAAACCCAAGTTTACGATAGCTGAGAAAACGTGTATGTTACACCTTACTAGTTAAGATAAATATGCTGTATTGAGTTACTACCCAACGCTTTATTTACACATGAAATTGAATCAACTGTTCGATGCACCATGTTTTCAAAGTAAATTACAAACTAATTTTAAAGAATATTCGTCGGCAAAATCAAGTCATACCAAATGTGCTAATACAAAAAATAGCACGTACAAAAATAAATCATTATACAAGAGAGGATTGTACAATGAGTGTTAAAAGACATTGCTACTGTCGTGGAAAAGAACCACTGATGACGTCGAAGTGTCGGAATTTAGCCTTTGAAACGATGCATTCTATTCTACCTTCAACCGGATGTTGCGAAAAAGCCTCCACTTATTCATCTATGCCTCGCTTTAACATACAACTGGCAGCAGTTAACGAACTTTTCATTTCCTGATCAGATCAATGGCATTATCAAGCGTGTACCGCAAATCCAATTTCTTAGTGCTACAATGATGACACCTAGTGACTAATTGTATAAAAATGAGCATACACAAAACGATGGCGTATAATGAAACGCTCATTGGCAAAACGATTCAAACTATATATATCGTAAAAATAATGATATGTTGTAATTCAATTCTCTTCAAACTTTTTGACTTTACTACGTTCCAGCATCTAGCGATGTTGAAAATTTACATTAAAAAATCCTACCCTCCCGGAATATCACCTGTTTACCTTTAGCATACGCTTGAGCGAGGGGGCGTTTACGCTTGGTTAATGATTATGGGATACAAACAATGCATGGTGTGCGATGCCTATTCCTCGTTTTGCGGCATTTTGTAAAGTAAAGATGACGTGTGTGTCTGGTATTCGTTGCAAAGTGCACGTGTGGGCCTGTTAGTTATTCATACAAAAACTATTGGTACTAGCTGACACAAAAGGTGACATAAAATTGCTAGTTTGAGTTAGAATTCGCAAGTTAGGGCTGACATCAGAAAACTCAGCTGAGTTGCTGTTCGAGGATCAGAGAAGTGATAGCAATTAAGTGATATTCAGTCGGAGAATAGGGCAAAGTTAGGTCAAGTCTTGCTACAACTTGACCTCACCTTTAGGAATGGAAACTTTACGGTATAAATAGCAACAATCTCAATCAATCTCATACTAATCTTTCGACGACTGACTAGTCAGTCAATCCAGCCAAGTACGCTTCACCAATCCTGACTTTGATGTAATCGCTACCATTGACGTATTTACTAATAACCAGGCTATTTTTATACGGCGTTTTACACGCATTTCGCTACGAACAAGCCCAGTGTGAGCACCCGCTAGTGAGGGATTTAATCTCAAATTACAAGATATATATTTGTGCGAATGAATACGAGATCTTCATTGGGCCATACAGGGCCAAAGTAGAAAGTAATGTCTATTTTCTGCTGGCCGTGGAAAACCATAAAATCCCGGTAGATTTCTACGACCAAGTGAATACTTGTGCAGAGCCTTATTCAAAGCGAAAGTGCGAAATTGTACATAAATTTATTTATGGTGTTCATATGTCCTTTTAATTTACAGTAATAAATTGAATTATGCAAGCTACTTACTTACACCTATTTGCCATTCTATTGACTTATGGCGGCGTGAATAGCCAAACGGTACTGAGTGGTGATCCTAGCAGAATTCCACCTAATCCCCACAAAAAAGACAAGAATGATCCCCAAATGGCAGGGTCTATCAGTATGGGAACACCGGATTTGAGCGACGAAGACTCCATGTCTATCCACATGCCCAATTACCTAAAGTGCGATGCTTGCAGAATTATTGCCTTCCGGTTCGCAGATACCCTCGAGGTAAGACTAAAAAATATTTGTATTATCCAAACACATCAAATCGTTGTAGTCATGAAAAATGAACTGTGCAACAACAAAAAGCTTTGCAACAACAAAAAAACAAGACTGGGTTTGACACCGCGGTTTTACAATTTCGTCTGAGCCGATTTATTACATTGTTTGTGTTGAAAGATTGACTGGTTTGCTTATCGCTTCAACTTTAACCTTTTATACAGAGATGACAAATGCAGGTTAAAACGGCTTAGGCGCGTGTGTTCATTCGAAAATGTTGGCGTGTTGTGGTTCGTCCGATGGTAACAATAACAAACCTAAACCCGTTATCTCATCCAGTATGAAACTAAATAGACTGGATAGGCAGAAATCGACGTGGTGTCAGATCGTTTTACCTCAAATTTGATTCCTTCAAAAAATACTAATTCATGCTGTTTCATATATTTCTGAATATTGCCCATGCACGTGATAATCAAAACTTTTTTTTATCACAGAAAGAAATTGATAAATTTCCATCAATCAGAAAAGGCAAAAAAGAATTGTCTGAAGATAGAGTTTTAGATTTATTAGAAGGCGTTTGTGATGACAGCTGGGAACAGTACGGCATTAAAGAAGTGGAAGGAGTAAATAGATTATCCGGACCCGGTTTCGAAACTTCGGACATTCCGGGAATCATGCAAGGAGGCGGGAAATGGCCATTTAGGTATAAGTCAACATGACGATTTATTGTTAAACGTACATAGCAGGCAGAACTTTTGTTTGTGCATGATTGCACCGAAAATTTTCAGTAATCTAGGAGGCTCTATACAAAAGTTATGTTCTTTTTAGTATATGTTCCAAACGAACTGGTTCTGCAGTTTCACGGTCACCCTGTATATGGCCCTACTAATTTTGTAATAACCTGAATCTTAGCGGACGTCTCCCAGACACTGCGTTTTGGCATTCCATTAGTCCCTCCATATTTATTATTAGATTTTAAACCAAATTTATATTTAGTGGGTACTATAGTGAAACGTATATAATCTCCGGTAATATTACGCCTGCAGTTTTTGTTACGTGGCCTGATTTTGATCGATAGTCACGTCTTAAATCACAAAACTTTAGAACCATATCATGATCATTGTAAATATTTAATATTGTCTTATCTGCGTCTTAAGTATATATTACACCGGCCGTTGAGTCTCAAGTATTGGTAAAAGTATACCAAACCCAAATAAGCTCTTCAGGTGTTCACGACGTCCTTGTCCAGACAAACAATTTTGCCACGAAGCTAAAATAGGATGCACTTATCAATTTATCGATTTTTAATGTTTCAGATTCAAACAAATGTGTCAAATCTTGGTCGGTGACGTTGGAGAGGAAATAGTTTACGAAACTTTTAGAAAAAGCAAAGGTAAAGGACTAGAAAAAAGACTTTGCTTTACCCCTATCGAAGGAAGGCCCGGCTTCTGCGAAAAGAAATCTGGAAAAGAGAAGAAATTTAAAAATGCTGGAAAACCCAAGAAAACTAAAAATACTGAAACGGAGAAACCAAATTCACGTCACAATGAACTCTGAATATATCTTTTCACCGACTTTTCATTGTTTTCACTGTAATAATACAAGAAGCATTGTGATATTGAATGTAGCAATTTCCATACTAGCCTCACATAACATATTGGTTTCAAAGGCATGTCCAAGATATTTAATGACGTCTCTGTCGATGACAACATCGGCTTACTAGGAAATCAGTATATAAACTGTTTTTGCAAAATAACAACGTATTTTTTATGTTCATAAAGATGGGGATACAAGGCAATTGAGATGTTTCATGATGTAGAATTATGAAAACATTGTTACCGATATTTTAGATTTTGTTGCAAGTGGCGTTACCCTAAACTTTATACACTACGTGGAATTTCGTATGTGAAAAATCATTTTTATGGCATGGATTCACACTAAGTCAACTTCATCTATTTATTGTACGTACATCACAAGATGTATACTGTTTGTACTGACTTACACGGCGTGCATTAGCGATTCATAAACATACTTGAAATTGCAAAATTTGGGCCTTCATCATATGGATATCAACATTTCATGCTTCACAAAATCAAGAATTTTGCTTTTTACTCAAAATTTAAGTGATTCAAAAAATCCTATGAAATATCAATTTCGAACCTTTTTCTTTTATTATTTGGAATACAAAAATGAGAACAAAATACAACTCGTATCATATATATTATCTAATTACGTTTCGCCTCGTATATTGATTTACCTTTCAAAACGGCATAGTATCTTTCATTCATCGCTCGTGTTCTTAATAAAAAATCTTGACTAAATTTCGGTATTGTTTGGTTGGATAGATTTTTTATACGACGTACGACGTATTGATACGACTTCTGCCCCGAACATCTCACAAACCACTGATATGTGTAAGAAGTTACTTTAGTTGTGAAAGGACCGGAATCGGTTTATTATTGCCCACCCAATTTATTACGCCCTGGGTGCTGACGTTGTGGGCATGGGATTTGAACCTGTGATGAAACCAAAGTAATATCTAACGGCGGTAGGAATGTTGTATCACTATACGTACATACAATATTCAGCTGATCCAAGAAGGCTGCGGTGTTATGCGGGTACTTTGGACAGGGAAAAGGCAATAATTGTTCTCGAAAAGCAATATGTTTGATATATATGAAATACCGGTACGCTGATTTCATCATTTATATAAATAAAGGCATATTCCTCCTGAAGAATGTAGTTCTTGGAATTTTTGAAACTCCTGTAGCACATTTATGTCACCTACATGTAATTTTAAAGACTTACGCCTTTAAAATCTATTAAAAGTGCAACCTAACTTATAAATACAGTATTGACACAAGTGCAGGTTGTTATTCAATTCTCCGGCGCTCCAGAAGTGTGTGTACCAATATGGAGGTAACTAATTATGTTCGCCTACTTTACATCAAGTTGTAAAGGGACTGAAACGTATGGGCAGAGGATATATTCACTTTGCTAACACAGACAGTCCCCGAACTCGTAATAGAACTAAATAAGGAAAATTGGAATAAAATCATGGCCTAACCCTAACCTGGTACACATACTACGGGAGTACCAATTGTCTTCTTTTTGTGTGGACATACGTGTCTTATTATGTCAGCGTATTTCATATTATGTCTGATACGTCAGTTACCACCTGGAACCTGATTCTTCGTAAATTTTGTGTCACTTCTGAGTGGTTTCGTGGGACATTGTCTTTATCCGCTATGCATATATGTAAGATAGTTCTAAGTTTTAGAAATACACATCAATGCACTTTGCACTTACGGAGCCACCCAAAGAGATAAAATAAGTCAGAATTTTCCACAGAATCTCATAAGGTACTGAATTTACTAAGCGTTCTTAACAGTCTAAAGAAGGCGTGTGCGTCCGTTTTTGTTGTCCAAACTTGATATTTTTTTTCGGGTTTGTAGCTAAAGTCGGAGTCGATTTTTTTTTACAATCCGGAGTTGAGAGTCGCAGTCAAAATGTTTCTTGACCCGAAGTCGGCGGTGAAACTTTTTGAACTCGGAGTCAGTGGTAATTTTTCCCCACTCTGACAGTCTGGATCAGGGTGGTCTAAACCCACACGCGACCCGCAGCTTCATTATCTGTGGCCCGCGTCGCATTCGGAGAGTAATTAGATAATTCATTTTGATGTTGTTTTTTTATAAAATAAACCAGAAAAATCTTTTGACATATTGTTACATCACTAATGTCGCTGAATTGACTAGTGTTATGGCTAGCTGAGGCAAGATTTTGCTTTGAAGATCTTATCGATGTTCAAAAGCACTTACATTTACTGATCAATGTGTTTGCACAATAAAAGTGTTTGTTTTGTATTGTGGCCTGCGAACAATGCAAAAATAATTTTGTTTCCCCCGAAGCCGACAACCTTGGACCACCCTGGACTCTGGATATTCGTATGAACTAAATTGCGTGTGGTCACGAAACCGCATGCTATTCTGGTGTCATAAAATGAAAGTTCTTGCTGCAAATATTGCAGATGTTGGTTATTGCTTTTGTATAATCCTAGCAAAGCGTACTATTATTACAACATTAAATTTTCTGCAGCGTACGCTTCAATGTGTTGTCAAAAGATAAGAATGTATAGAAATAGATGTTCATATGTATTTAGGTTTCAAGCATGTGTGTATTCCCATAGCGTGCAGACTTCCCTAACCAATATACCAAGCATTGTGAATAAATAGCGTTTATCGAATTGTCACACTCTAAAACTTGCATAATTTACTCGAGTTGATTTATTTATGTCACTATATTAAGCTTGAAGAATAGTACGTTCTCTCTGTATATAAGTCGCCGTATTAGAGGATTGTTTCATACTTTCATCAAACGTAGATGTGTTCGGTTGTATCAAGCAATATAGCCATGTTCGCGCCGATCGCTGTTCTTCTCATAAGCTTACTGGGCTGTGGGCTGGGAGCTGCACCTAGAAGCACAAGAATCGGTAAGTCCTAACATTCATGTCTGTCGATTCTAAAGTAATAAACCATGTGATTTATGTACCTACTTTTGAACTGCGGGTGCAGGTTAGTATATATACTCGTTTTCATAGTAGATTTTTAACCAAAATACTTGCCTTTTGCCTTTTTGACTCACGTCTTACAACAGTCAGAGGCTGGTATCTCTGAGACACATAATGCTATAAATCCTAGAATTTATTCAATATTCTTAAATATATAAATTCCGAGGCAGTAATTATTTGAATAATGGCGACAAGATGGCTCAACGAAATGAAGATATTTGCTTCTGGTTACTCGTTATTGTCAGGTATGGTATTACACATCCAGTGCAATCGTTCAAACGCATGTAAGTGACATTAATATCCTGCATAAAATAGCTACATCAAAATATTTATATATATATTATTCTGTAGGTTCAAAATTTCTTTTATATTTAGTTACGTTAACTGCAGCCTCTGGAAGAATAACTAGTCCTGGATATCCGAATGGATATGGTGACAATAGCGACGAAAGCTGGCGATTGAGGGTGGAAGGAGCAGAATCGTACACGATCACTTTCGAAGTTGTTGATTTGGACAAGTCTGGTTGCTATGATTACCTGGTTTTGTACGACGACTCAAATTACCTTGCTCCGGGAGGTAATATGAACTAAACATGACCGTAAATGAACATTTTTGTTTGGTCTACCAAAATTTTAGTTTTTAAACATAATTTTCAGAATATAATGAACGGCCTTCAAACTAAATAGATGCGCTTATTTCAACAACTCGTTTTAGTCTTCGCAATTGAAAACCATACCACGGTTTCGGGAGATTCACATGTTTCCCTTTTTAAACGAAAGCAACTGATAAGGCATTGATGTGCTAGAAAACCTTAGATTGGTATTATTCTCAAATTAGTTAACGCAATATTACGTACAATGGGAAACATTGTTTTAATAGCGTAAGCCAGTCTAATCGTGCCGATTCGTTTTCCTGGGTAGAGCCTATAATTATGTACGTGTCTATATTCAAACGAAAATTTGCTTATATTTTTAATAAAATAACAAGAATCTCATGAATTAGACATTTTATAATTTTTCTTCCAGTTACCATATGCGAAAAACCACCTACGCCATACATAATGGATTCTGGCAAAATGACTATTACGTTCAACACAGCCGGTAGTTGGACTGCTGGAGAAAGAGGAAACGGATTTTCACTTGTTTATCAGGCGAATGGTCCAGGTATAACGGAAATATTTGTTGAAAACTTACACACGCGACAGTTAAAATCTGCGTTTGTGTAATCGATTTTATTCTCAAATGGATTTTTATATAACCCGCCACTTTATCGCATACAATTTCTTCTTTCTTGAATATATATTTAAGAAATTTAAACAAAGTAGCTTCCTATACAGAATAGGTAGCCTAACATGAAATAGTACTGCAACTTTACATTATCACGCAATGCAGGTATTATTCCCGGGACAACAGCTGCACCAGGACCTTCAACAACAACAGGAAACATTATTGTCGTCACAACCGAAGGCTCGGCCACAACTACTAAGGGCACAGAGACAACTGCTGGAGTGCAGACAACATATCCACCCAGTGGAAATTTTCCACGTAAAAATTTTATGTGGTTGTTCATATTAACTATTATTTTTAAAATAACCAGTTCGTAAAATTTCGACGAAGAATATGCAATCATCTTGTATTAATACAAAATTATTCATACTTTGACATTTTATCAGCTGGAACACAAGATGATAGCCAGTGCGGTGTGCCGGCATTTTCACCACAAATCACAGGCTTCGATTACGTGGCACAGGGGGCTGCACTTTCCGAGTCGAGATCTGTTCCATCACCTCGAGTTGTCAACGGAGAAGAAGCAATTCCACATAGTTGGCCGTGGCAGGTAATCTTGAAATTTTAAATAACTAAGAAAATTGTGAAGCAGTAGCAATTGATGGAACATAATATTCCCTATTGTTAAACAGGCTTCACTGCAGGGATCGCAAGGATCGGCTTATTGTGGCGGTACGTTAGTTCAATCACAGTGGGTAGTAACGGCAGCTCATTGCGCAGCATTGGTTTTGTAAGTTAATATTTCATTTGAAAATAAAGTTATGCATCCATCTCACTTGTTTTGTCGACTCGTAATCAAATGGCATAACTGTTGCCATAACATTAATTCAGAAAAAAATTGCTTGTTTCATATAGCTGAATTAATAAAAAGCACAATATACGTGGTCCGAATCAGGCGAATTCAAGCGAGCGTTAAATTGTATCTTCATAACTATGAGGCCATGAGCATATATACCATTTAGCATTTAGGAATTCCCATAAGCTAGAAAGTAATTTTTATATCAGGGAAATTTGTTTTTTTCTCCGTTGACAGCATCGGAACTTACGCTAGCGATCAAGTGTTGCTGGGAGCACACGACAAAAGATCTGCAGAAGCATCTGCTCAACTCATTGACATTGTTGCAAAATATGTTCATCCACAGTACGACAATCCTGATCGTAGCCATGACGTAGGTTGGTATTTGAAATATGTTGAATATATATATACGTAACAGCTATATGTAGTGCGTTAATTTCTAGTCACGCAATAGGTCAGTCAAGAAATGCAATTAACTTGTGACTGGATGCTTTATTTTTACCACATTCTTAACATTTCGGGTTAGATTACTTACTTTAAAAGCGTAACTCCAACATATAGGTCCAACGCGCTATTCGCAATGCAGGCCAGCGCACACATACTTATTAATAATTATCATTGTCTATAAATCCAAGCGCATTATCATTCAGCTTTGGTAAAACTGAAGACACCTGCTGTATTGAATGAATACGTTTCTCTTGCTTGTGAAGCTCATGCAGGATGGTCGTTTCCTGCCGGTATGCAGTGTGTTGTTACTGGCTGGGGAGTTACGAAAGAAGGTAATATGGTAATATAATAATCAAATATAGAATAAAGTTTAGTGTGATTCTTATTTAAATTTGTGTCAAAAATGTTTTCATGTTATGCATTATGAATGTTTTCATAACTGTTGATTTTTTGGCATAACAAGAATTTTTGATTCGTTAGCAGACGCCTAATTTGGGAAAGTTGTATTATATATATATATATATATGTATTGAAAAGCTTATTTCAATGATGTCTATACGTTAAGATGTATTCAAAAACTTTGATACAGACTAATTTGGGTATTTTCAGATTTGAATTTTTACGTTATTATCAAGACATTCTTTAAACATTAATCAAAGACTAAGGTGTCATTCCTCAAAGCCATATTTAATCAAATTTGGATATGAACATTCCAGGTGGAAATATTGGTACCGGCATTTTGCAACAAGCTCCATTACCACTCATGAGTGATACAGATTGTTACACCCTTTATCAGGAAGCGAATCTTGACACAACATCTGACATGCAATGCGCTGGAGGACAAGGAAAGGGGGCCTGTAATGTAAGTTACCTCATCCAGCGAAAGCTTATAGGCAAAATAAATAAGGTAGTTAGTGACTAATACTAATTAAGAAATTGAAGCTGACCGCGGACCATTCGTATTTGCTTCACTGTGTACATTGGCTGTAAATGTATATATATTTTTATCTGTATTTGTCAGTTCGTGAAAACATGTTTGTTTGAAATCGTTGTTTGTCCTATATTCCAGGGTGACAGTGGCGGACCACTGAATTGCTATGTAAACAACAGATGGTACCACATGGGCATCGTTAGCTTCGGTGAAGCAAACTGTGACACGGACATCGCTTCAGTTTTTGCCAAAGTGGCAGAGTTGCGAAGTTTCATCGACAGCACGATTGCGCAACATTCCTGAATGAAGTGTAAATCCTAACGTAATGTCGATCTCAACAAAAATATGATCTATTGCTGAAATATTTAGTGTTTTATTTCTTGGTTGGTTTGGCATAGAAAAGGTACTTGTATCGAGTCATTGTATTGTACTTGTTTGTAATAACAAGACGGCAATACTCAAATATAAGGGCACTAAGATCGCGTATCAGTACGGCAACGCCAGATAGTATCGAATTTGCCGAAAAGATCGGCGGGCAAGAAAACGACAGTTAAAAAATTTTCTTCACTTTAGGCGCAATCTCTAGGCAATTATACACTTGGTTATTATCGTTTTATGTTGTCTACTGCCTTCTTGTTGTCTCGTCTATAATCTCCTTCCCTGACTGGCAAGGTGTACTTCTACCATGGAGGAGGCGATCGAAAGTCAGTTTAATGCCAGAAGCCACGAAAAACAAAACAAATACCCACGTCGAAGACCCGCGAGTTCCAAAGAATTCCGCAACTGTTACAATAAAAGCAACAGCGTAGCGACATTTGTGTCCAATTGAATTCTGGAAAATTTGGGTGATAAAAGTGTATTAAAAAAAAAATTAGAATTATTTGTTTGGGAAATTATATACCAATGTGAATAAATGTGGCCGGCATACAAAGAGACTGATTAGAGGCAAGGTGTCACTATACAGTTGAGGTGGTCATTCTAGTGAAAACAGTCCTGGTCCAACGAGGATATTCATGCACGTTTATTATAGATTTTAACAATGGAAACAATCGCAATAAATACAAGATATATCGTTTCACATATTTTATTATCCAAGTAAAATGATTGAACATTAGAATGTGTCTCATTAAGAATAGCAGATGCATCGATAACATTTGGACACTCAACATTACGAACTCTTTTGAAGGTTTAACGAAAATCGTCGTTATGCGAGATGAACAAAAATTCAGCCATATGACGTTTTTATAATTTGGTTTCGCTAGTGAGGAACAATTGAAATATATTTGTAAGAAAAACACAAAATAAATGTGAAGGAATTGATCAGAAAATATGTTGTTTGACTTTTTTTGTGAAAATGCGTGAGTCATTGGTAGGTGTCGTTACGAGATTGTTATTGCTCACCACGATTCTTCGCGTCCGTATTCTTTAATTTTGTTTATCTTTATTTAGACTAAAACAGTGTTTCCCAACCCCGAGGCATCGGATTAGATTACATGAATAAACGATTCCTTTGGTTGACTTATGTTCGCTGAATGATTTAACCGCAAATTGCCGAAGTGAAGCTATTATCGTAGACAACTGCACGATCTGAGAATATTCCGAGACATGACGAATAATTCCCCAAAATTTTGTTATTCCTGATCAAAAATACTACATTGAAATAATCGGCGATCTACAGGAGTTCAATACCGAAAGTGGTCATGCGATACTGAAGCAACAGCTAGGCTTCAAAAAGATTAGCAATTCAGGTAATTTACGCTTAGTCATACTGTTGATGGCTGCAGCCTGCAGGTCATTGTGAATGTAAATTGGAAAGACGAATGTAAATGAGCTTCTAAAGCTGTTGAGAAAACTTTTCCCAACCGGGTAGAAGTACCATTGCATCTGGTGTATTTTTACAAATATTATTCAGTTTTTAGTATTATTATATTCAATACGTAATTATCGATAATTCAAACTGTGTGTGTGCGAGTCGAAGTGCGAAGGATCCTTAACGATTGAGACAAACAGAAACAATGGAAACAATGTTTTTATGCGTAGTGTGGAAGGAACAATCCTAATAGGCATACCGTGAAATTTATCGAAAAGGTTGGGAATCACTGTGTTATTAAGGCATCGATGCGTAATAAGGTTTTACCGTGTACTCATGACATTTTTTTGACATTAAGATTTTAAAATATATTTATTGTTCCAATGCTAGATTAAGCGATTTAGTTGATATCAATTTCGGTATTATTAGTTCAATTTGCTTCAGTAATTATTCCAATATGGCGAAGTTCATGGTTGTATTACTATCTCTCACTTCAGTGGGTATGCTCGCCTCCTGTGACATACCCAATGTTTTCGAGTTTTGCACTGCTCTCATGTCTGACAGTCAAAAATCTTGCAATACGGCGACATGTCAAGGAAGGCCAGGCAAGAGAGGCCCAGTTGGCCCTCGAGGAAACAAAGGTGTAAAAGGTAACACTGGCGCAACAGGGACATCGGAAGCACTTGGAGCAAGAGTAAGACAATTAGAAGGTAAAAGTCGTATTTATCTTGAAGTACTTTTGAATTAAGAAAATTTTGGTAACTTTGTTTCTATGTAGCTGTGTTTAGTAAAAGAATTTACCAAATTTTTAATAATTATTGAAATAATACCAAACAGCATTTGTTAGACACCTATTAAAATTGTATTATCTGAATTGCCATGTGTAGAAGTGAGATACAAAACAAAATTGAACCGGTTTCTACACAAAAAAACAGAACAACCTATTTTTGCTTATTTTTTCTGAATATTTTAAATAAACGTTATTAAAAATGATTAACTCGAATTAGTCTTTTTTATTGCACCTATATGCTCTGTTTTACAGATACAATTATCATGATGAAGAAAGTATTCACACCGAATCAGAAACGTAAGAATTTATATATTTATTCTAGCTAATTTAAGGGTACTTATAATATATTATTAAAAGCGACTATACTAAGTCGTGAGCAAAATGTGATAGACAAAGATGGCTGCCGGCATTTACAAATTGGTTTAATGATAGGCATAAAAATTGATGTCAATATTTTGAATAGAATATCTTCTATAAATATGTTTTTGCGATGACCACTTACTTACAAGTTCCAAAAACAACTCTAATGAAAAAATCTGAATTTTCTTTAAAATTTCTAAAAAAGCAAATTCATCAAAGCATCTCTTTCAAAATCAAAATTTTCGAGATGCAAAATTTGTTTAAAACTGAAATTAATCACATCAAATTACTGACAATCGTAGTATAAATACAAATTCCTAAATGGTCTGATGATCGTGTAATATATCAAATGTTTCTCACAGTCGAATTTTGCGCAATGGGCATGAAGTCAAGAGACATTGCGGATGCAGATATTTCAACCTCTTCCGATTGGGAAAGTTTCCATCATGGACAATATGGAAGATTAGATGAACAGCCTGCATCAAACCCAACTTCCTATGGATCATGGATTTCTCGAAAACGTGAGTTTTAAAGTTTCTGAGTGAAATGCGATTATTATCCTGTCTTGATATCGCCAGATTATGCACTCCGTGGGTATCGATGCAGCATTTTTATGACAGAAGATCGCAATGCTCAAATATATGGGACACGAAGACCAAAACGAAGTAGCCTAGTACGGGTATCAAATCTTTTTGATACGACTCCGACTGACCACCAGATGGCTACGATTTCTAACGCGGAACCGCCACAAATGCAATTTTTAATTTTGATAGCGTCATCACACAAAGAATTTTGCAAACAAATACAAGTAACTGCCTTCATGCAACAACAACAGTCTCTAACCACTGCAATGTCAGTGCAATTAGTCTATCTAGCTAGTAGTTGAAGAGAAAAGCGATTTTTTTTTCACGAAACGAATACTAAAAACAACAACAACAATCTAATAATAAAACAATATATAAGTCCATATTGTGTCCAATAATAAAAAAATTATTAAAAAAATATATACCAATATTTTTTCGGGATGCTTTATAATACTTGAAATGTAGAAAAAAATCTCGCATCAATTTATACTAATTGTCGAATCATGTTTTTTTTGTTTTTCGAACGCTACATTGAAATTTTAGTTTTTCTTTGAACTCTTTTGTTTCAGCTCAAATCGGAGACTGGATTCAAATCGATTTAAAAATTCCTAAAGCAGTGTCTGGAGTTGTAACACAAGGTAGGCCTAGTTATGATCAATGGGTTACTTCGTATAAAATCAAGTGCGGAAATTCTACAAACAGTTTCCAGACCATCATGGAAAATAATCAAGAGAAGGTAGGCACACTTTGTTGTAGGTTTAAACATCTAATTCTGTATTTAACGTTGTATTTAATATACTTTACCAGGTATTTCCGGGAAATAATGACCGAAATACCAAAGTCACAAATTTATTTCCCAATCCAGTGGTTTGCCGCTACGTGCGACTCTATCCACAGCGTTGGCACGGACATTTGAGCATGAGAATGGAAATACTCCGTGGAGAATGCTACGATTTCTACTGAGAAATCATTCAAGATTTTGAGTTGAATTTGATATTCAGTTTAAAAAAAGTGTAAATTTTCGTTGTTAGAATTTTGTTATTCCAATACTCTATAGCCAACTTTTGATCTTATTTTGACTTGTTGTGATGTCATGAGTACTGCTAGATAATCACTAGACTGAAATGTCATAAACTTTTATACTGTAAAGAGAAAAACTTAAGTTTAACACAGCACAAATGGACCTTTCCCCGACCTTTGACCCCCGAAAAATTCTTCCTATACTTTACCATTGCAACATTTTGGGGGCCAGTTCAAGAGTGCTATTGCGAGTTGGCACCTGTAAAATGGGGTTTGTGTTTCAAATCATCATTATGATTCATGGCATAAAACAATCTGTTTTTTAAAAATACTGGTAAAGAATTTTAGCCTAGTCTATCACAGCTATTTGTACACTAATTTTCCATTACTGCAATTAAATTGAAACTCCCAGGAAGACAGAGTGATCATTGAATTATCTGATTTATATTTAAGTTTCCGAAACACAACAGAAAACTAACGGATAGAGTTCAAAAACGCGGAAACGAGGTAATGTTTACGACCACACTTAAAAATCTGTCTGAGTGAGAAAAGTGTCTGAGCGGATGCGAAAAGAGAGCATTGTTACGTCACTTTTTGCATCTTGCTGATTGGCCAATGTCACGAAGTAAACAAGGAGGTCGATGCTCGGGGAAAGGTCCATACGAGACAATCGCAGCGGAATCGAGAGAAATAGAGAACCATGCGGACAGGAAGAAGCCCAAGGCAATTATGAGAAAACAATTATGACGTCATAACACCAAATCTAGTTACGGTTGACAACCGACGAATCGATGAGAATCAATGAAAATGTTTCATTAAACGCTAATTCTCCTAATAATTCTTATTAGAAATAAGATGGCACGCAAAGACGCTTGATATTAGACGCTTGCCAATTGCCATGAATGTTAACCATTTGAACCAAGGGTCGACAATTACTTTTTAATCGCGACTCTGAAAGGAATTTCAAAATTTCGCGACCTAAACCTCCGTTGGTTACTGAGTACAACAAAATTCACTGGTTTATGTTTATTGAACTTCATAGAATAAACTATGATATAATTTATCATACAGCCGATCCATTTGAAAAAACAGCTTTACTTATTAACCGATCTATATTGCTTCCATCCCCTCAAACGGCTTTTTACAACTATTACCATTTCGTGCGTTTTGTCATACTGAACTGAACAACAGAACCAACTGCATTACGCATCATATTATTTATTTATCATACGTTTCCATTCATGAAAAAATGCATTTCATTCATTTATGTTCCAATCTTGTTTTATCATTTCTGATGCCTTCCGTCCAATCATGTAACAAGGAGCTTGTGTATTAGATGACGTCACATGGGGCATGACTGATGCATCGGCGACTCTTAGGCCCTCAACATGCCGGACCCTTCACAACATAATGAAGAGGTAAATAATGCGAACCGCTCCAACAAAAATACTAAACCATGTAGTAAATAAGGATTCTTTGTTTATTGGATTGATATAAAATTGTATAGAGACATATACAAGTTCAGTTATGATAACTTTGTCATATAGTTTGATTGTAAATAACCAATATATATCGAAAAGAAATGATTGACCTACCTAAGTCTTTCGTCAACAACTGCCATGTCATCATCTTCTTGTCCTATTTTAGCAGTACAACATGCGTGTGCTCCAAACCCAAAACTTTTCACGTAACATCGATAAAATTCATCGGGCCTTGAAAATAAATTTTTGTTAGGGTAGTGGTTTAGTGTCAGTAGATTTATTAATTGTTTGAAACATGGCACATGAATATCTAATTGTTAAATTCAGTTTTTCATTCATTCAGTAGTTATTTTATAAAGAAAGCATGATGAACTTGGATTCAATATTTACTTGCAGTTTGCTGTCACGCTAATGTTTATATTGTTCATCCATCCAATGCAAAACCATGACGGTTTTTGTTTTTTACTGATTCGTCTTCTATAAAATTTTGCCATGCTTTACTCGCTGTTGCATAGATGTAAGTGGATGGATACTTCACAAAACCTTAAAAAATTTCAACAGCAGCAGGCGCAGATATTACGTGGGAGAAATATTACCTGGGAGGGTTAGTGTAGAGCGATCCATTGCATACTTCAGGTGTTATCATCCTAAATCCAATTTCTTTCATTGTTTTTGTCATTTCGAATTCTTCAAGCTTTCTAAATCCTAAAAAAGGATTTGATAAAAACTACGTTGAAACACCAGAAAGGCAAGATTTTATGCGTTTATTGCATGTATGCAAGAGATCCTAACTACTTCCTTTCTTGTTTCGCGCAATTTTGACTTGCAGGAAAATTTGCTCGTGATTGAGCGTGCCAAATTGTTGTTGCCAGACCCGAAAAATTCTTTTTATACTATACCATTGCAAAATTTTTGGTGCTTATTTTAAGAGCGGTTTCGCGGGTTGGGTTTCCTCCTTTTTTTTTTTTATCTGTGTTGAGCCTGCAATTAAATTGATTACTGCAATTAAATTAAAACTCCTACGAAAACGAAATGATCATTGAGTTCTTAATTCATACATAAATTTCCGAAACAAAACTAAAAAATAACCAATGGCATGCAAAAAACATAATATGATGGAATGTTCACAACCATGCCTGAAAATATCTGAATGAATGACAAAAGTGTTTGAGCGGCTGCTAAAACATCTATTGTTATGTCACTTTTTGTATCTTTCTGATTAGCCAATGTAACGGCAGTCAATGATCAGGGTTAAATATTCATTGTTTTTCTTGTTAGTATTGTACTTCTCTTTGTCGTAGTGAAAACATCGATTTTCTCATTACCTACTAAACTAATTACTTTGAAATTTTCAGTGGTGAAAGAATTACTTTCATTTATTTCAAATATCTCTTTGGGCTCTATGTGATTTGTTATTCAACTCGAAATTTTATGTGGTGATTTCTTGAAAATTGATGAAATTATTTGTATCGGTTGTGAGACCTCTCTCGTGCTACTCTTAGCGGAAGTAGGAAGTTTTTCGACCGTAAAGTACAATGGACTAGGTAAGGTATTGCATAGAGTAAGGCAGACTACTGCAGACTTTGGCTTCGTGGCCATTTAATTGAGCATCGTTCTCCTTGTCTCGTTCGTATTTTTCTTTTTGGGAGATTTGGGAGATGTGACCACAAGGAACCAAGCTTGTCCAGTAATCCAAGTGTCAATTATGGTTTTTGCATTTGGAAATTAAAATACAGACATGCGAGTATTCATGCCATTTGTCAAATGGGCGTTTTATAATAGAGAGAGAGATTTACTTTTCGTCAATCAGAAATATGAGCATTGCAACAATTAAAAGATATACCACAACATACGCAAAGATTTACCTTCTATGTGCATCTTTATATCATCTTCTTCCGACAGATAATTTGGATCAATAATAGGCTGATCTGAAGGATTCGTCGACTTTAATCGAATTTCACCTTTTGATTTGGGATGCTGAACTCCTATTATCGAATAGGTATAAAACGTATGCTAAAAATGAAAGCAGTTGCAATATTAGATAAAATATTATGGTTGAACGGTGGTACTTCATACTCCGTGGAAGCACATATATATTCCTGAAATGCCAGATTCCTCCCTTTCTTCATGTTTGAGTACAATCTGGATATAAGTCCTTTACTGTACAAAATTGTCGTAGTCTAGCTCTTTCAGATTTTGTCAAGATCTCTCGTTTTATTGAATCAAATACAGTACATGAAGATCAATAATGAGTCATAAAACTAAAAGCAGGTTTGTACCATTTACATCTAATAACGTCAACATTATGAATTTATAAACTTGATATTGGACTTTAAAATATTGTATTTGGCTGATTTCAATTTTTTTTAATAAAGACAAAAAGAGCAGTTCGAAGCATTGAAATTGAGAAATTGAAATCTGAAAAGCTCTCATATATAATAATGAATTTCTTACGTTTTCTTTGAACTTGAAAACCAAAGATAATTTTCCTGAGGCGAAAAGTACTTGAATACTAGGAAATGGCCGTTTTCTTAAAAAAAGGTATGTTTATTTTACATATCAAAAGTTTTTATTTGTTTAATTTTGACAGATTGGCCCAAACGAAGCTCAACAAAAAACGCATCCATGTTTTAGCCCCTCGCACAATAAACACATAAAAGTATTTTTTGTAAGTTATCGTATCCGCCATAGTTTATACATTGTGAATTGTTATGTTCGTTAATTAATTTGAGTTTTTTGATCGGAAAACTTAGTAATGTATTAGGAAAGGGTTTCAAAATTTTGTATCTTGAATGCAAAATTATTCTGAGTTCTCTTATTAAAAAGTTATTCATGATCCAAATTATTATAGGCCTATTGGCTAGTTTAAATTTTTTCAGCAACACAAATGATGCGCAAAATATATAGAAATGGTAACAATATCTGAATACATTTACAAAACACATAGTTTCTAAAAAATTCTTTTCAAGTTGCTTTGTAAAATATTTTGCTACAATTTGCTTACTTGCTGCTTAGAGTTACGTTAGTTCCAAAATACTTAGTCTTATGATGAAGCACGATACTGCCACCCACGACTGCTGAGTTGTGTCCGGTACCGTTCATGACGTATTCCGTGATAGATTCCGGTGTCTAAACATTGATCTCAATTTAATTTGCGATATGTGACATTGCTCCTCTCCCACAGATATCTAAACTGTAGTTATCAATTCCACAATATCTGCGAAATACTGATTAACTTACCATATCTGTTGCAATCCGGCTGTCGTTTGTGGCGTGATAGACGAAGTGCCCAAAATGATCCTGGAAATTAGCTCCCACGCCTGGCAAATCCCTCACAACTTCTATCTGGAAGTTCAAAACACTGCAGTCTGACATCGAAATTTGTGTCATGGTTTACGATTTTAAGGTATGTTTTACCAAAGTCTTGTGTTTACTTTTTAAAAAAATAGTCAAATATTCGTAGTGAAATATTTGTAGATATTTTAGAGCTTAAGAATCTTTCGATATATAAGCTATTGACACAACACGAATCTCCGACATGATTCTTTTACACAGATATAAAAGATCAAGGTATCAGCGCTATTCTAAAAACGGCTTGAAGCTTAGAAAAATAAGTCAATAAAAACAATTAATTTTATGATAAACACAAGCTGTCTCGGAGCGACTTTTGTTTCCATCTCCCATCTGAGCAAGCATTTGTTTCATATATAAGTAAAAGTTTTTCGCTCAATTTTTTGAACAATTTTTCACGGATATTGAAAACTATAGATAATACATATATTACATTTTAATTCTTTTTCCGCAAATGTTATGAAAGTAAGAGTCTACCTCCATCTCTTCAAGATGATTTTTCGGGCCGATCCCCGACAACATCAATATTTGTGGAGTTCTCAGTGCACCAGCTGATAAAATTATTTCCTTTCTGGCTCTAACGTTGCTTATTTTTCCATTTTTTATGAAACTTACGCCTGTAGCTTTTTGTTTACCGCTTTTTCCAGTAACAAAGTGAATCTTGCTTACAAGTGCATTTGTTACAATGTGCAAACTTCTTTGTCTATAGGAAATATATTCGGATTTTATACTCTGTGCCAATAATTTGCAAAATAAACACAAGCTTCAAGTTTTTAGTCCAAATCAATTTGCATTCGAATATTTAAGAATTAAAGTAATTAGATACCTAAAAAATACAAGTTTGTATCGAAATTGTGCGAGCTTTTTACGATCTTACAATAAAGCTGCTTTCTGAAAACTTAAAAATTGTATTCAGTCGTTACGGAATTTCAAATTGCGTTGGGTAAAATAAACTACCTGAGTGAAATGAAATATTGGATACGTAAGGTTTTTGAAAGTAACTCAATGTGTTGTAACTCGATGTATATTTTTTATACGATCTACACGTTTTACCGTTCTTTATATCCCGATCGCAAAAACGCGTCTGAGGACGATTGTCTTAGTCCCTTGTATCTGGTGCAAATAAGTGAAGATATACCATCAATTTCATCAACATAGTCAACTTCCTTTATACCTTTGTATATGAAAAAACGTAAATACATTTCCGAATTTTCCAACATCAAACTAGCTAACTTTATACATATTATTTAAAGATTAAATCCTAATTAGATACAGCTGCTCATCTGTCTGTTTCATTTTTTTAATACGTCCTCACCGATTTCTTTTGCCGCCGTCTTCAATTTTGCAGTAAAGAGATTTTCGTATGAAATGCTGATATTTAGTAAACCTCCTCTTCCGACTTTTTCTGATATTTTGTCATCGACGGCGTTTTCATTTTTTCTAAAAAAAGGCTCGACATCTTTCCAACTCCATCCCTTTGCTCCATGATCTTCCCAAGAATCATAATCATGTGAACTTCCTCTCAAGTAACCCATGGCATTAATTGATGTTGATCCACCGAGAATTTTTCCTCCGCAATATTTTGCATTCTAACAAAAGACATACACTTCAGACATACATTTTAGTTATAAGCGCGTTTCAACTTACTACGTTTTGGATGCCGAACTGGAAATATTGATATTACGGTACTTTCAAAAAACCTGCGGAATCCTATCCCGGTGCGAAGTGTAAAACACATAAAAAGAAGCAATTAAAGGAGGTAGTTGTTATTTTGCCTCTTTTTTGCATACGAACTTTCAGTGTGCCGGCAGGTGTGTGCACATCATATACCTCGGAATTACTCCGCAGTGGAAGCTTACACAGAGCCTTGTTATGATTGGAAGGTTAAAAACAAAATGTATCTATCTTGATTACCTTTCCTATTTCAAGCAACGAATATTTTTGTTTGGCCATGTCGTAGTTCCAATTATAAGGAGATTGTTGCAACATGCCATATGTCATCGCACTGGGAACTAAAGGATTGTTGTAATCTGAGTCACCCGCTTCCAATAACAACACTCTGAACACAATAAAAATTGTTGATGAACGGAAAGTTATCTAGAACAACACTCATGAATTCCGTTTTACTCCGTATTCATATTAGATTCTGTAGTAGAGCAAGTTAAAAAAATTGGAACAAGATATCATGGTACATATAGTATATACCAGGGTGGTCCAAACCCAGGCCCGCGGCCACTTGTGGCCCGCAGCTTAATTTCTGTGGCCCGCGTCGCATTTGCAGAGTAATCATTTTTGTGTTGTTTCGTCATAAAATTAACCAGAAAAATCTTATGACATCTTGTTACAGCAATAATGTCACTGAAATTGACTAGTGTTATGGCTAGCTGAGGCAACTGACGAAGTTGAATGATGGGCTTGGCAGTCTAAATTGTTATCTGGCTTTATATCGTTTTGGTCAGGAATATATGCTAACAATTTTGGCATCATAGAAAACTTAAAATCGAATGCGGATTCTATAGGCCTAGGTTGGCGCTATGCCTGATAACTAAATATTAATGTTATGGCCGAACAATATTAGGCCATAACATTATGGTCTTACAACTCATGCCTGGTGTTTTTTTCAACCAGCCTAAATAGTATTACAAAAAATGTTGTTTATATATCAGAAAGTTTATCAATTACCATTTTGTACCTCACATTGTGTAATCAATCAATCTGTAGTTATAAATATATAAGTTATTTTGTAAACATGAGTTTGAGAATGAAATCTGACGAATTCAAACAAATTTTTAACTGGATGTGGGAGGAAAAATACCACAATTCTTTCTTGATATGTCTGCAAGTTGTGTCGGTGAAAAAAACAATTTAATTTTAAACGGCATTTTGAAATCTTGTGAGCAATGAGGATTTTCCAAAGTTAAGATTTTGCATTGAAAATCTATCGATGTTCGAAAGCACGTACATATGCGAAAGCATTTTTTTCCGTAATGAAGAGTTTGAAATCATGCAATAAAAGTAGAAGACTTTTGCAGGTTTTAGTTAATTTTTGTGGTGGTTTTGCATGGGTTTTGCATAACCGAACTCACATATTTAAAAAAATATATAAATGAGGCAAAATTTTGCGAGTATGCAGAACATACCGTTGTCATTTCACTCGTTTATTATTACATCTATATTCATAAATTGTTAGGAAATGTTGGATGCAAAAGCTCATTGAAAATATGCAATAAGTTGAGTAAAAATTGGTAACTGATGGTTGTTTCTTGAAATATTTTCTCCACAGTAATGAAACATTTAAGTTTCTTTCAATTCTCAATCATAATACAATGCTTACGTCATCCCAGTTTTGTCTGAGAGTCCTCTCGCAACCACAGCTCCAGATGCACCTGCCCCAACTACAAAAAAGGAAGAAAATTTATTGGTTTCCAAGATGACTGAGTTATGCATATAGTACTGTGTCTCTATAAAAAATTTTGCAACTGACAAAGAGTTATTGAAGTCGTATACACGAATACTTGAGTAATGATAATAATAATAATCCTCAAGTCCCACCATATATTACTCTCGTACCTGAACAAACGCTTTTTGTGCTTCAGATAAATCAATGATTACTCACCAACAATAAAATCGTATTCTTCCGATACATCGTTCGTTATCATCGGGTCGTACGACTTCCGTGCTAGTAGAGTCAATAGCAGAGCGACTAATGTTGACTTGATCATTTTCAATAATTTGCCTAATTTTGCATAACTTTAGCGAAAAAAATTAAACAAAATATTTTTACACGTTTATGATACAACTGTCAGTATCACAAATAGAGAAACGAAATTGGGCATTTTGGTGATTATGCCAATAATGTTAATCATTCTATCATCTGTTTATCCCAATAAATTCGAAAATGAAATACATATCCAACATTTAATGATGCCAGACTTATAATGCGAGGATGATGTAGGAAGAATGTAGACAAGTATAGTGATTCTAGAGTCTTGCTGCACTTCTACCGTTCTAGCATTTAATTTATGCGCGCCTGGACTTCATCGCTAGCATGTCTTTTTCTAACTTTTGTCGAGCATCGTCATGCACTCCTGATCAAATAATACACACACATATTGCATTGCGCTACAACCTGTTATTTAGCGTTTAATTATATGCCTCGGGGTTTGATGCCTCTAAAACATCTCATCGAATAAGAATGGAATGAAAACACGTGACACTAAAGTTGCAAGTTACAAATTTCGTCATAGTCAAACCAATTATTTTAAGCTACGGCAGTTTACCTCCTAGCACCCTGTGTAGTCGAGTTGTCTATGAGATTTGTCCGTTTAATCGAGTTGTCCGTGTGGTGTAGCCGAGTTTTTCGGATTCCGATATGACTACTGGTAAGTTACGGCGTATGATTTTCGAAGAATGGATGATAAAGTATTTAGTTTTGCATTCCGTGTCCACATATTTGAGCATAGCTCTCTTGTATTCATATACATTCATTATATGCACCCAATTTCCTGTACCTTCCCAGTCTTTAGAAGAGCCTGTGCAAATGATACAATAAGTTTTTGCCTTGAAAATATACGAACAAATTTGGAATCACCGCGAAATAATAATCTTTGTTGCGTCAAAATGATTTGTATTGTATGTTAATTTAATGATATTATTTTGAAGCAAGTAGAAACAAGCGATCATGGATGTCAGTTAGGTCTCGTCTCACGAAACTACAGTTGGTGAACTCCAAGAGTTCTTCGTTGTTCAAGAGTATGACAGTGCTGGTGGCTGCAAGAGAGGTTTTTATCAGATATTAGATAGATATAACCGACATCACTATTCTGTTACGAGAGAGATTGATTCTGGCAAAACTCCAATCGTGATTCACCTGATAGATAACAAGACTAACAATGTATTGAGAATGGAACCGAGGCTTAGGTAATTGAAAAAAAGGATTTAGTAAATAAATTAAATAATTTTAAAGTGAATAGTTTTACTAGGCATGACATATGCAAAACATGTCTTTAATCATTTTCACCTAATTCAGTTTTTCACTTTTAATCCAGATTTACCGGTATTCCGGAGTACCATGTGATTCAGAAATCAAATCGATTTTTCTAGTCGATCTGAATTCTCGAATACTTATTAATTAGTCATATTATATTTGTTTATTATCACTGATCCTTATAGCAATATACATACGACATTGAACAATGGAATATTACTGCTGGACACGAAATGGGCAGACAGATATTTTTGATATTATGGTGCTTCAAAATTGCGCACCTAGTGGTTCCGCGTTCGCTACTGTCTAATCATCTATGGTCACTCGAAGTGGAGACGCCTACGATTCCGTACCACAACTATATATATATATTTCCACTTCAGTGTTCCGTACCGGTACTGTAAAAGATCAGATATCCGTACTACTTCGTTTTGACTTTCGGGCCCAAATATTTGGGCATTGCACTCTTGTATTATATCGAATTAAACTTCAAAATGAGAAACGCCAAACCTCCATTTTTTTAATCATCAATGTTGACAAAGTAATTCTTACCTAACTGAAAACTCACTCTTTTGTGAGTTTGATATTTTCGTTGGCCTTTTTGTGACTGAAAATCCCCCTTTTTCCTATTTTTATTGAACTTTCTTATTTTTTTCCTATTTCAATGAACTTTATTTTTCCTTCTCGTAAACTTACGTATTAAATTATATGTGCAATAGGCCGTGCCATGCATTTTGTTGTTGCTTGAAAGACTGCAGTCACAGTATGGAAGTTTCTGCTAACGGTGAGCTACTTGGAGTGATTCGTCATGGGGTGAACTGCTTCCTGCCAAAGCTATCTGTTGAAAAGTTCGGACAAACACTCTTTGTTATCAAGGAACCTGGTTGTCCGTGCTGTTGGATATGCAAGTGCGATGAATTAGTGTTCAACGTCTTTCTTTCGGATAATCCTCAACCTGTAGCATGTATTGTAAAACTGTTTGACACATGCATGTCAGAGATACCTATGTTCAAAGTGATGTTTCATAAACAAGATCTAGATTTGATTTCTAAATTTCTCATCTTTTCTGCTACATTTCTAATAACTATTTTGTTTTTTGAAACAGTTGATACGGGAATATAACCTCTTTCATGATCATGCAGTATCACGTGCTGAAAGAGCAAAGGGTAAGGGTAGCAATGTATGCAAATTTGTATCGAGAGTTTTCTGAAAAGCTGGCTCAGTTGAATATATTGTACTTATGCGCAACTCATCTAATAGTTCGTTGACTGGCAATTAAAATTTTCAATTCATTTCTAACTCGAACTAGATAATTACTATTTTTTTCATATTTTAAAACGTTATGGAGGTGTTTTTCTCGAATTTCACATTTTTGCATCAGTGGCGACGACTTTCTACAAAACCTCCTTATATTAACATAAGTTAAACAAAAGCAAAGAAAACAGACCAGAAATTTGGTGGTAGAACAATAATTAGATTTTAGAAAAATGTTACATTCATTAAAAACGGTTTTCATTTCTTAGTTAAGATTCTAAAACAAAGAGTTCATATTTTAAAACGTTATGGAGGTGTTTTTCTCGAATTTCACATTTTTGCATCAGTGGCGACGACTTTCTACAAAACCTCTTTATATTAACATAAGTTAAACAAAAGCAAAGAAAACAGACCAGAAATTTGGTGGTAGAACAATAATTAGATTTTAGCAAAATGTTACATTCATTAAAAACGGTTTTCATTTCTTAGTTAAGATTCTAAAACTCAAGAGTCGTTATTTTGTTTGATCCAATGAATAATAATTCCGTCAAAGAGTGAGATCGTAATCCCGAATCAATAGTTGGGTAGTTATATAGAGGAAATTATCGAATTCATCGAAAAAAGTGGGGATCACTGTGTTAAGGCATCGATGCATTATATGGTTTTACCGTGTACCGTGTTTACCGTGACATTTTTTTGATATTGAGATTTATCAAATATATTTATTGTTCCAATGCTAGATTAAGCGATTTATTTGATATCAATTTCGGCAGTAATAGTTTAATATGCTTCATTAAGTATTCCAATATGGCAAAGTTCGTGATTGTGTTAGTATCCCTCACTTCAGTGGGAAAGTTCGATTCTTGTGACAAACCCAATGTTTCCGAGTTTTCTACTGCTCTCGTCTCTGACAAACAAAATCTTGCAATACGGCAACATGTCAAGGAAGGCCAGGCAAGAGGGGCCCAGTTGGCTCTCAAGGAAACAAAGGTGTAAAAGTTGACACTGGCGCAACAGGGACATCGGTATCACTTGAAGCAAGAGTAAAACAATTAGAAGGTAAAAGTCATATTTATCTTGAAGTACTTTTAAATTAAGAAATTTGTTATAACTTTATTTCTATGCAGCTGTGTTTAGTAAAAGAATTTACCAAATTTTTAATATTTATTGAAATAATACCAAACTGCATTTGTTAGACACCTATTAAAATTGTATTATCTGAATTGCCATGTGTAGAAGTGAGATACAAAACAAAATTAAACCGGTTTATTCAGAAAAAACAGGACAACCCATTTTTTTTCTGATTGTTGTAAATAAACGTTATTAAAAATAATTAACTCGAATTAGTCTTTTTTATTGCACCTATATGCTCTGTTTTACAGATACAATTATCATGATGAAGAAAGTAATCACACCGAATCGGAAACGTAAGAATTTATATATTTATTCTAGCTATTTTAAGGGTACTTATACTATATTATTAAAAACGACTATACTAAGTCGTGAGCAAAATGTGATAGACAAAGATGGCTGCCGGCATTTACAAATTGGTTTAATGATAGGCATAAAAATTGATGTCAATATTTTGAATAGAATATCTTCTATAAATATGTTTTTGCGATGACCACTTACAAGTTCCAAAAACATCTCTAATCAGAAAATCTGAATTTTCTTTAAAATTTCTAAAAAAGCAAATTCATCAAAGCATTTCTTTCAAAATCAAAATTTTCGAGATGCAAAATTTGTTGAAATGCAAAAATGTTTGAAAATGAAAACTGAAATAAATCACATCAAATTACTGACAATCGTAGTATTAATAAAAATTCCGAAATGGTCTGATGATCGCGTAATATATCAAATATTTCTCAAAGTCGAATTTTGCGCAATGGGCATGAAGTCAAGAGACATTGCGGATGCAGATATTTCAACCTCTTCCGATTGGGAAAGTTTTCATCATGGACAATATGGAAGATTAAATGAACAGCCTGCATCAAACCCAACTTCTTATGGAGCATGGATTTCTCGAAAACGTGAGTTTTAAATTTTTCAATAAGTGAGTAAAATGCGATTATTATCCTGCCTTGATATCGCCAGAATATGCAGTCCATGGGTATCGATGCAGTGTTTTTATGATAGAAGAGATCAATGCTTAAATATATGGGACACAAAAACCAAAATGAAGTAGCCTAGTACGGGTATTAAATCTTTTACAGTACCGGCACCGTGTTTCGCGACTTCGACTGACCACCAGATCGCTACGATTTCCAACGCGGAACCGCCACAAACGCAATTTTTAATTTTGATGGCGTCATCACCCACAGGAATTTTGCAAATAAATAAAAGTAACTGCCTTCATGCGACAACAACAGTCTCTAACCACTGCAATGTCAGTGCAATTGGTCTAGCTAGTAGTTGAAGGGAAAAGCGATTTTTTTCACGAAACGAATACTAAAAACAACAACAACATAATAACAAAACGATATATAATACTTGAAATGTAAAAAAAAATCTCGCATCAATTTATACTAATTGTCGAATCATGTTTTTGTTTTTCGAACGCTGGGTTGAAAGTTATGATCAATGGGTGGCTTCGTATAAAATCAAGTGTGGAAATTCTACAGACAGTCCAAACCATCATGGAAAATAATCAAGAGAAGGTAGGCACATTTTGTTGTAGGTTTAAACATCTAATTCTGTATTTAACGTTGTATTTAATATACTTTACCAGGTATTTCCGGGAAATATTGACCGAAATACTAAAGTCACAAATATATTTCCCAATCCAGTGCTTTGCCGCTACGTGCGACTCTATCCACAGCGTTGGCATGTGCATTTGAGCAGTAAATTTTCGTTGTTAGAATTTTGTTATTCCAATACTCTATGGCCAACTTTTGATCTTATCTTGACTTGTTGTGATGTCATGGGTACTGCTAGATAACCACTAGACTGAAATGTCATAAACCCTTATACCAGTGGTTCTTAAACTTTATCGAGCGCGACCCAAATCTGAGTTTTTATGAATACTCGCGACCCAATCCTAAATAACGCAAAATGTGTTTATAATGTTAGTACAGTTTGACTCAAATACAGACAACTATTTATTAGAAACAGTCCATTGACTCAGTGAGATTGATGAAACTGAAATTTCCTTTTCATTATATCTTCAATACACAGCTCTATTTTACTTAACGCAATACGCAAGTTGTCACGGGTATCGAGGCGATTGCGAGCTTAGTTTTGTTAACCGTCAGTGCCAAATATCCTCGCTCGCATATGCCTTGTCGCGAATTGTAGCAGAAAAGGCGCCCGCTGTCCGTCGCAAACACGACATCCTAGCTGGCCTTCGGTATCTCTCGCAATATACAACTTTTTACTCATCAAATGTGCACGCACTGCTTCGTTCGCGGTAAATGGTGCCTCGAGATGAAGTCACATTTTCTCTAGATATTGAATAATCTAATGTCGAGAAGCGAGCTTTTTCATTGCGTCATCTACTACAATTTACATTACCAAAAAGACACCCATTTATGGTTATTTTAATCCACTAAGACGACATTCCACGCGGTCAACACAACGACAAGCGACGTGCATGGTTATTGGTTACCGATACCATAAAAATAATACACGTGACTGGCATATCAGAATTGTGATGTAACAATGAGCTCAAGACAGTTTTTTTCCGTGAATGAAATTTTATATTTCATTATTTTTAAATACCAGAGTTTAGAAGCTAAATTGAAACATTGGGAAAGCTGAAAATTCGTCCTTCTCCTCTTAGATTGCCCTTACATTGACGACCTTGTCGCGACCCATTTTTAAACCTTCCGCGACCCATGTTTGGGTCGCGACCCATACTTTAAGAACCACTGCCTTATACCGTAAAGAGAAAAACTTAAGTTTAACACAGCACAGTACGAGACAATCGCAGCGGAATCGAGAGAAATAGAGAACCATGCGGACAGGAAGAAGCCCAAGGCAATTATGAGAAAACAATTATGACGTCATAAACTCAAATCTAGTTACGGTTGACAACCGACGAATCGATGAGAATCAATGAAAATGTTTCATGAAACGCTAATTTTCCTAATAATTCTTATTAAAAATAAGATGGCACGCAAAGACGCTTGATTATAGACGCTTGCCATGAATGTTAACCATTTAAACCAAGGGTCGACAATTACTTTTTAATCGCGACTCGGAAAGGAATTTCAAAATTTCGCGACCTAAACCTCCGTTGGTTACTGGATACAATAAAATTCACTGGTTTATGTTTATTGAACTTCATAGAATAAACTATGATATAATTTATCATACAGCCAATCCATTTGAAAAAACAACTTTACTTTTTAACCAATCTATATTGCTTCCATCCCTTCAAACGGCTTTTTACAACTATTACCATTTCGTGCGTTTTGTCATACTGAACTGAACAACAGAACCAACTGAATTATGCATCATATTATTTATTTATCATACGTTTCCATTCATGAAAAAATGCCCTTCATTCATTTATGTTCCAATCTTGTTTTATCATGTCCGATGCCTTCCGTCCAATCATGTAACACGGAGCTTGGGTGTTAGATGACGTCACATGGGGCATGACTGATGCATCGGCGACTCTTAGACCCTCAACATGCCGGACCCTTCACAACAAAATAAAGAGGTAAATAATGCGGACCGCTCCAACAAAAATACTAAACCATGTAGTAAATAAGGACTCTGTGTTTATTGAATCGACATAAAATTGTATAGAGACATACACAAGTTCAGTTATGATAACTTTGTCATAGTTTGATTGTAAATAACCAATATATATCAAACATAAATGATTGACCTACCTAAGTCTTTCGTCAACAACTGCCATTTCATCGTCTTCTTGTCCTATTTTAGCAGTACAACATGCGTGTGCTGCATATCCAAAACTTTCAACGTAACATCGATAAAATTCATCGGGCCTTGAAAATAAAATTCCGATTATGATAGGGGTTTAGTGTAAGTAGATTTATTAATTGTTTGAAACATGGCACATAGCTATCTAATTGTTAATTTCTATATTTCATTCAGTCAGTAGGCATTTTTTAAAGAAAGCATGATGAACTTGGATTCAATATTTACTTGCAGTTTACTGTCAAGCTAAAGTTTATATTCTTCATCCAATGCTTTTTACTAAATCGTCTTCTTTAGAATTTTAACATGCATTGCTTGCTGTTGCATGTCGTTAGATGTAAGTGGATGGATACTTCACGAAACCCTAAATATCTTTCGACAAAAGGCGGCAGATGTTGTACGAAATGTTTGCATGTCCATTTTATCGAACCTATTGTCTTTTAATTTAAGCACCGTCAAATTAGTCTCGTTTTATGATTTTATATTGCCACTTTTAGTGTGACGTAACAAGTCACTTCTTTTCCCGCGCTTTACAGCCTTCTAAAACTTTCTTACCACGGTAGACGCTCGCTGTGTTTTGTAGATTAGGGAGGATGCTGTGCAAATATATATTTTAATAATGACGGGTTTTCCTATTTTGGGGGGTTAGACTTATTCCATGCGTTACATAATGATTAACAGATTTTTTACTTAGAATATTATTAGGTTCATTCATATATTATCGGATTAGGTTTTTGATGTATTCTTATACTGATCATTGTCTTATTTTGTAAATTAGCACACTTGTGACTGTTCTTTGAGTCCTTGTCAAAAACAGTCAATTTATCATTAACACTATTACTGTACTACTAAGACTGTTAACACTGACGTCAACATTAGCTGTGTTTATGCCTGACAATAAAGTTTCTTTCAACACAAGTGTACGGGATTGTTGGTGTACAGATTGCAGTGTCTGTTAAGTTGTTCGTTTTTGATGCATATATTGGAGACATTAATTTGGGGACACAAGGGACAGGACGCGACTTCAGTTACCCTGAAACTCAAAGTCGTAGTGGGAGACATTAAATTACTTATTACCTACTTATCCCACATATATTACCTAGGAGGGTTAGTGTAGAGCGATCCATTGCATACTTCAGGTGTTATCAGCCTAAATCCAATTTCTTTCATCGCTTTTGTCATTTCGAACTCTTCAAGTTTTCTAAATCCTGGAAAATGAGTTCATAAAAACTACGTTGAAACACCAGAAAGGCAAGATTTTATGCGTTTATGAGCGCGTATGCAAGAGCTCCCAACTACTCCCTTCCTTGTTTCGCGGACTTTTGACTTGCAGGAAAATTTGCTTGTGATTGAGCGTACAAAATTGTTGTTGCCAGATGTATGATTTGATTTTGAAAATTACCAAAACCTTTTGATTTAAAAAAAATCTGTCTGTGACTTTTGAAAGCAAAATATAAATTTTGGATTTTTATCCGCAGAATATTTTGCTTTATGATGTATCCCCAACCTTTGACCACCGCAAAATTCTTTTTATACATTACCAATGCAAAATTTTTGGTGCTCATTTTAGGAGTGGTTTCGCGTATCCCTCCTATAAATAGTTTTTTTTACCTGTTTTAAGCCATAATTCTAATTCAAAACATCCAACAACCTGTCATTTGAAAGTACCGGTAGAAAAGTTTAGCCTATTTTATTACAGTTTAGATTAGATAGATAGACTAGATTAATTTTTGATTAGTGCAATTGAATTATAAACTCCTACGAAGACGAAATGATCATCGAGTTATTAATTCATTCTTAAATTTTCGACACAAAACTAAAAAATAACCAATGGCCTTCCAAAACCAGAATATAATATAATGTTCACAACCATGCCTGAAAAAATTTAGAATGAGTGACAAAAGTGTCTGAGCGGCTGCTGAAACATCTATTGTTATGTCACTTTTTGCATCCTTCAGATTAGCCAATGTTACGGTCAATGATCAAGAGGAAACATTCATTGGTTCTGGACTGCGTACATGAGAATAACGATGGCGCTTGGAACGGTTAGTTGGACACGAAATACACATATGGACTGTTTCGTTAATACGGTATGTTGTTGTTCTTATTGGACACAAAATGTTCATATGAATCGTTTTTGTTATTATCATGTTGTTTTACTTGTTAGTATTTTTCTTCACTTTGTCGTAGTGAAAACATCGAATTTCTCGAGTGATTTCTTCAAAATTGATGAAACTATTTGTAGCGGTTGTGAGACCTCTCTCGTGCTACTCTTAGCGGGAGTCGGACGTTTTTTGACCGTAACGTACAATGGACTGGGTAATGTATTGTTATGGAGTAACGCAGACTACTGCAGACTTTGGTCTTCGTGGCCATATATTTGAGCATCGTGCTTTTTGTCTCAGCAAGTTAGGGAACGATATTTCACGCCATTGCCACTGGACAGTACGTACAGTATAAATATGATTCTTGAAGAATAGTTTTAATATTTCAAATAGATAGATATATGAATGAATTGGTTCTCGGATTAAATTTACCTTCTATGTGCATCTTTATATCATCTTCCTCCGACAGATGATTTGGATCAATATTAGGCTGATCAGAAGGATTCGTCGACTTCAATCGAATTTCACCTCTTGATTTGGGATGCTGAACTGCTAGTATTGAATAGGTATAAAATGCATGCTAAAAATAAAGCAGTTTCAGTATTAGGTAAAATATTATAGTTGAAAGGTGGAACTTTATACTCCGTGGAAGCACAGATACACGGCGGGCGTTAAAATATTTATCTGAAAGAAAGTTCTGTACATTTTCCTGAAAAGTCAGACTGCTGTCTTTTTTTCATATTTGTAACAGCACAACTAGATAAAAGTCCTTCAATATACAAAATTGTCGTAGTCTAGGTTCTTTCAGATGTTGTCAAGATCTCTCGTTTTCTGGAATCGAATACAGCATATGATGATCCATCATGAATCATAAAATTAAAAACAAGTTCACAACATTTGCATCTAATAACTCCAACATTATAAATTTATAAACTTGATATTGGACTGTAAAAAAAAATGTATTTGGCTATTTTAATTCTTTTTAATAACGGCAAAAAGAGCAGTTCGAATCTTTAAAATTGAAAATCTGAAAAACTCTCAAATATATATTAATATTAAATTTCTTACGTTTTCTTCTGACTTGAAAACCAAAGGTAATTTTCCTGAGGCAAAAAATGCTTGGATACTAGGGAATGGCCGTTTTCTAAAAAAAAAGTTATGTTATTTTACATATCACAAGTTTTTATTTGTTTAATTTTGGCATATTGGCCCAAACGAAGCTTAACTAAAACGCATCAATGTTTAAGTCTCTACACGCAATAAACACATAACAGAAATTTTTGTAAGTTATCGTATCCATCATAGCTTCTACATAGTGAATTGTTAAGTTCTTTAATTAATTTCGGTTTTTTGAGGTAAAACTTAGTAATGTATTGGGAAATGGTTTCAGAAATTTGTATCTTGAATGCAAAATTATTCTGAGTGTTATTAAAACGTTATTCATGATTCAAATTATTATAGACCTATTAACTAGTTTAAATTTTATAAAAAAAAATAAATAGAAATGGTAGCAATATCTGAATACATTTACAAAGCACATAGTTTCCGAAAAATTCTTTTCAAGTTGCTTTGTAAAATATTTACTGATATTTGCTTACTTGCTGCTTAGAGTTACGTTAGTTCCAAAATATTTAGTCTTATGATGAAGAACGATACTGCCACCCGTGATTGCTGAGTTGTGTCCGGTACCGTTTATGATGTATTCCGTGATAGATTCCGGTGTCTAAACATTAGTCCCAATTCAATTGGCGATATGTGACATTGCTCCTCTCACACAAATATCTAAAGTGTAGTTATGATTTCCACAAGATCTGCGAAATACTGCTGAACTTACCATATCTGATGCAATCCGGCTGTCGTTTGTGGCGTGATAGACGAAGTGCCCAAAATGATCTTGAAAATTAGCTCCCACGCCTGGCAAATCCCTCACAACGTCTATCTGGAAGGCAAAAACACTGCAGTCTGACATTGAAATGTGTGTCATGGTTTACGATTTTACGGTATGTTTTACCAAAGTCTTGTGTTTACTTTTTAAAGAAATAGTCAAATATTCGTAGTGAAATATATTGTTGTAGCTTAAGAATCTTTCGATATATAAGCTATTGACACAACACGAATCTCCCACATGATTCTTTTACTCAGCTATAAAACGTCAAGGTATTAACCCTATTCTAAAAACAACGGCATTAAGCTTAGAAAGATAAGTCAATAAAACAATTTATTCATGATAAGCACAAGCTGTCTCGACCAAACTCTTTTGTTTCCATCTAACCTCTGGGCAAGACTAATCATTTGTTCCATGTATATATAAAAGTTTTCCGCTTATTTTCTTGAACAATTTTTCACGGATATTGAAAAATATAGATGTTATATAATACATTTTAATTCTTTTCCCGCAAATGTTATGAAAGTAAGAGTCTACCTCCATCTCTTCAAGATGATTTTTCGGACCGATCCCCGACAACATCAATATTTGTGGAGTTCTCAGTGCACCAGCTGATAAAATGATTTCCTTTCTGGCTTTAACGTTGCTTATTTTCCCATCTTTGATGAAACTTACGCCTGTCGCTTTTTGTTTACCGCTTGTCACAGTAACAAAGTGAATCTTGCTCACAAGTGCATTTGTTACAATGTGCAAACTTCTTTGTCTATAAGAAATATATTTGGATTTTATACTCTGTGCCAATAATTTGCAAAATAAGCACAAAATAAGATTCAAGTTTCTAGTCCAAAGCAATTTGCATACAAATATTTTAACTCTGAAATACAAAACCAGTGTTCTCTTTCTAGAATTAAAATGATTAGATACCTAAAAAATTCAAGTTTGTATCATGTATGTATCAGCGAAATTGTGCATTGAGTATTGAGTTGTGTATTGAGTATTGAGTTTTTTACGATCTTACAATAAAGCTGTTTTCTGAAAACTTAAAAATTGTATTCACTCGTTACGGAATTTCGAATTGCGTTGGGTAAAATAAACTACTCGAGTGAAATGAAATATTGGATACGTAAGGTTTTTGAACGTAACTCAATGTGTCCGTAACTCGATGAATATTTTTTATAGGATTCACACGTTTTACCGTTCTTTATATCCCGATCGCAAAAACGCGTCTGAGGACGATTGTCTTAGTCCTTTGTATCTGGTGCAAATAAGTGGAGATATTCCTTCAATTTCATCAATATAGTCAACTTCCTTTATACCTTTGTATATAAAAAAACATAAATGCATTTCCGAATTTTCCAACATCAAACTAGCTAACTTTATACATATTATTTAAAGATGAAATCTTAATTAGATACAGCTGCTCATCTGTCTATTTCATTTTTTAATACGTCCTCACCGATTTCTTTTGCCGCCGTCTTCAATTTTGCAGTAAAGAGATTTTCGTATGAAATGCTGATATTTAGTACACCTCCTCTTCCGACTTTTTCTGATATTTTGTCATCGACAGCGTTTTCATTTTTTCTAAAAAATGGTTCGACATCTTTCCAACTCCATCCCTTTGCTCCATGATCTTCCCAAGAATCATAATCATGTGGACTTCCTCTCAAGTAAACCATTGCGTTTATTGATGTTGATCCACCAAGAATTTTTCCTCCAGGATATTTCGCGTTCTAACAAAAGCCATACACTTCAGAAATATAGTTGATAGAGCGTTGTAACTTTTTTGGTGCCGAATAGAAAGTATTTATATTTTGGTAATTTTAAAAGCCTACAGAACCCTAAACCGGTGCACAGTGTAAAACCCCATGCAAAAAGAAGCATTCTTATTTTGCACCATTTTTGCATACGAACTGCAGTGTACAGGCAGATGTTTGCACATCATATATTTTTCAATTAGACTACTCAGTAATAGATGCTTGTACAAAGCCTTGTTAGGACTGATTAAAATTTTGTACAAAAAATATCTATCTTGAGTACCTTTCCCATTTCCAGCAATGAATATTTTTGTTTTGCAATGTCGTAGTTCCAATTATAAAAAGATTGTTGCAACTTGCCATATTTGATCGCACTAGGAACTAAAGGATTGTTGTAATCTGAGTCACCCGCTTCCAATAACAACACCCTGAACACAATAAAGACCATTGATGAACAGAAAGTTATCTAGAACAACACTCATGGATTACGTTTTACTCCGTATTTATATTAGATTCTGTAATAGAGCAGGCTGGAATAAAATATTATGCTACATTTAGTATATACATTGTAATCATATGTATGGTACAGGGACACATTGTTTCTTGAAATATTTTTTCCACATTAATGAAACCAATTAAAGTTTCTTTCAATTCTCAATCCTAGAGCAACAATGCAATGCTCATAACATATGCTCACGTCATCCCAGTTTTGTCTGAGAGTCCTCTTGCAACCACAGCTCCAGATGCACCTGCCCCAACTACAAAAAAAGTGAAGAAAGTTCAGGGATTTCAAAGGGGGACTGAGGTATGCATATAGTACTGTGTCTCTTTAAAATTTTGTGCAACTGACAGGGAGTTATTGAAACGAGAAAGTATACATTTTTGAAAAGAGTTATAGCAACAAATTTGTTTTAAACAGATTCGTATTTTCAACACATTTGTTAGAAACAAAATCTCAGAAATCGTTTACACGAATACTTGAGTGATGATAATAGTACTAATCCTCAAGTCCTACCATATATTACTTTCGTATAAACGCTCAGATAAAATCAATGATCACTCACCAACAATAAAATCGTATTCTTCCGATACATCGTTCGTTATCATCGGGTCGTACGACTTCCGTGCTAGTAGAGTCAATAGCAGAGCGACTAGTGTTGACTTGACCATTTTTAATAATTTGCCTAGTAGCACAAATAGAGAAACGAAATTGGGGATTTTGATGATTATGCCAATAATGTTAATCACTCTATCATCTGTTTATCCTAATAAATTCGAAAATGAAATACATAATCAACATTTATTGATGTCAGACATATATTGCGAGGATGATGTAGAAAGAATGTAGACAAGTATAGTAATTTTGGAGTCTTGCTGCACTACTACTGTTCTAGCATTTACTTTTGCGCGCCTGGACTTCATCGCTAGCATGTCCTTTTTTAACTTTTGTCGAGCATCGTCATGCACTCCTGATCAAATACACACACATATTGCATTGCGCTACAACCTGTTATATAGCGCTTAATTATATGCCTCGGGGTTTGAGGTAGGTTTAAGCCGATATTGACATGACTTCGATGGGTGTCAGTGTAGAAAATCGTGTTTCCATAAAAAAATCGAAAAATTGAAAATTGTTCATCCTTAAAAAAATATATAGAATTTCAAACAAAAATATCATAAATCAATTATCATTTGTTTGCAGTATAAAATGGCGTATAATATAGCAACGTCCGAGAGAACCCGAGAAAAAACGACATGCCTCTAACTAAAACATCTCATCCAATATGAATGGATTGAAAACACGCTACAACAAAGCTGCCAGTTACAAATTAAACCATAGTCAAACCAATAATTTTTTGTATGGGAAAAATGATCTCCCAGAAATATATAAGATATCGTTTAGTTAAGCCCACATTATATAGTTATAATAATATTGATGTAATGGAGCAACTACTATATGACAAATGTTTTTCAAGTTAACCCGGACTGTTGTAGCTATTGTTCAAGGGATGGCATCCAACTAATTTCACATTTAATTTTCTGCTTTGGTAGATCCACATAGTATTTTACGGTTCCCATTCATTTTTGACTAACATTTACCACAAACAGTCATTTATTGAATTTAATTAATACTAACCCAAATTATATTTACAAACTAGCACTATCAATATTGGGTAAAGCAATCAAAAGTGGGGCATCATGTATCGAGATTATAATCTTGAATTGTAGGATGTCATAATGCGAGAAGTAGTATAATACCAAGAAAAAAATGGATAAAAATGATACGAAATATTCGTCATAAACGGCCACATATTCCTCATTGTAAGTATGATTAGTTGAAATTCAAGAGTCCGGCTGCACACTAACACAAATATATGTCTGTAACATAGTTGTAAACTGCTTGTCTGACGAAATCTGATTTAGGTCAGATGAAACGTCACAGAAATATATTTGTGTTAGTGTGCAGCAGGTATCTTGAATTGCATACGGTATTTTATTCCTGCTACAGCATTTTTGCATTATACCCATAGGGATCCACTAGCGCAAAAGCATTGAGAAAGGACTGGGAGTTAATTTCGCGCAACATCTACTGATAGGTATATTTGAATTACCCGCTAGATAATAATCTTTGTTGCGTCACAATGATTTGTATTGTACGCTAATTTATTATTATTATTTTGGAACAAGTAGAAACAAGCTATCATGGATGCCAGTTCGTTATCATCTCACGAAACCACAGTTGGTGAACTCCAAGAGTTTTTTGTTGTTCAAGAGTATGACAGTGCTGGTGGCTGCAAGAGAGGTTTTTATCAGATATTAGATAGATATAACCGACATCACTATTCTGTTACGAGGGAGATTGATTCTGGCAAAACTCCAATCGTGATTCACCTGATAGATAACAAGAATAACGAAGTATTGAGAATGGAACCGAGGCTTAGGTAATTGAAAAATAATATTTAGTAAACAAATTAGAAAATTTCAAAGTGAATACTTTTACTAGACATGACACATGCAAAACATGTCTTTAATCTTAATCACCAGTTCAGTTTTTCACTTTAAATCCAGATTTACTGGTATTCTGGAGTACCCTGTGAATTAGAAATCAAATCGATTTTCGATCCGAATTCTCGAATACTTAAATTGATGATATTATGTTTGTTTATTATCACTGATCCTTATATCAGTATACATACGACATTGAACAAGGGAATATTAATGTTGGGCACGAAATGGGCAGACAGATCGTTTTGGTATTATGGTGCTACAAAATAGCGCACCTAGTGGTTCCGCGTTCGCGTTCGTTACTATCTAATGGTCAGTCGAAGTTGAGACGCCTACGATTCCGTGCAACAGATATATATTTCCACTTCAGTGTTCTGTACCGGTACTGTGAAAGATCAGATATCCGTACTACTTCGTTTTGACTTTCGGGCCCAAATATTTAGGCATTGCACTCTTGTATTATAACGAATTGAACTCAAAAGGAGAAACGCCCAGCCCCCATTTTTTTCTCATCAAGGTTGACAAAGTATTTCTTACCTAAATGAAGACTTACTCATTTGTGAGTTTGATATTTTCGTTGGCTTTCTTGTGATCAAAATTCCCCCATTTTCTAGTTTCGATGAACTTTTTTGTCTTATTTTAATGAATTTCCTATTTGTTTCCTATTTTTAATGAACTTTATTTCCCTTTCTCGTGAACTTACGTATTGATTTTTTTCTCAATAGGCCTTGCCATGGATTTTGTTGTTGCTTCAAAGACTGCAGTCACAGTATGGAAGTTTCTGCTAACGGTGAGCTACTTGGAGTGATTCGTCAGGGGGTGAACTGCTTTCTGCCAAAGCTATCTGTTGAAAAGTCCGGACAAACATTCTTTATTATTAAGGAACCTGGTTGTCCGTGCTGTTGGGGATGCAAGTGCGATGAATTAGTGTTCAACGTCTTTCTTTTGGATAATCCTCAACCTGTAGCATGTATTGTAAAACTGTTTGACACATGCATGTCAGAGATACCTATGTTTAAAGTAATGTTTCATAAACAAGATCTAGATTTGATTTCTAAATTTCTCATCTTTTCTGCTACATTTGTAATAAGTATTTTGTTTTTCGAAACAGTTGATACGGGAATATAACCTCTTTTATTATTCAGCGGTATCACGTGACGGACGAGCAAAGGTTAGGGTAGCGATGTATGCAAACTTGTATCGAGAGTTTTCTGTAAAGCTGGCTTAGTTGAATATATTGTACTCGTGCGCAACTCATCTAATAGTTCGTTGACTGGCATCTAAAATTTTCAATTCATTTCTAACTCGAACTGGATAATTACTATTTTTTTTTTATATTTTAAAACGTTGGGGAAGTATTTTTTTTTCGAATCTCACATTTTTGCATCAGGGGCGACGACTTTCTACAAAACCTCCTTATATTAACATAAGTTGAACAAGAGCGAATAAAACAGACCGGAAATTGGTGGTAGGACAATAACAAGATTTTACCAAAATGTTACATTCATTAAAAAAGGGTTTCATTTCTTAGCTATAATTCTAAAACTCGAGGTCGATGTTATTATTGATCAAATGAATAATGATTTCGTCAAAAAGTGGGATCGTAATTTCGAATTAATAGTTGGGTACTTAAATGTGTCGATTAGTTCTGTGCCAATTTTATAATCAATTCATATTCAATGAGCTGTTTTAGAGGCATGGCAAATTGCGATTATTACTTTTCTCAGTAATTAGTGTAAAATACAGGATACGCCATAAAGGATCATGACCGATCGATGAAACTTGATCTTGGAAATACAACGTAATTGTTACATTATCAAATGTTTGTTTGGCAAATGCGAGTCAGTCTACTAGAACTTGATGTGTTTTAGAAACTAGGAATCTGGGAGTAATTGCTAGTTGAATAACACAACAGAAAATATAATATTATAATTCAAAATGATAATTTACGTTTTAGAATGCTGAATATTATTATATATAATTTGATTTTTTCTAAGCTGGCTGACGAAAATAATTGCATAGAATATTTCCCGTGTGTAATTTTATCAAAAATCGATATAATGCTCATTGCATATATATATATATAATACATCATTCGTAGGTAAATTTATATGTTTTATGTAGCAGTGAGAATTGATCTTGAAATCAAACACCATCTTTATGGCTCACCAACATTGAAAACATTACTTTTATAGGCGTGAAGTAAACATTATGAGCATCTTATATTTTGCCGTTCTCGATATGCTTTGATGAATGTCATCTATTGTTCAACAAAAATAGATAAGTTAAGAATAGATTTCAATATTATGTTTTTGTAATGAGCTTCTGACTATCATATATAAAATGCTAATTCAGCGATAATTGTGGACAAACCCATACAACACCTAAAGCTTATCTAAGAATAGATTTCACTCAGCATGTGTTTCAGTAATCTTGTGAATAAGTTGGTACAAAAGCTCTTGCGGAGAGAGGTATAAACTTCATAGTAAATGTAACATGCGCCTTGCGTGTCAATTTCAGAATGTTTGAGAATCCGTAAAGTAAAATAGCGAGAATCCAATTTCAAAACGTTTGTCGTCATTTTGTGTTTAGCTGCTTACTGCAATATAAAAAAAACAAAAAAAAAACATTTAAGCATGGAAAGTAACGTTGACCTTAACTCAATGCAGCTGATTTTAACGGAACATATGAAGAAGACATGGATGGGGGCTAAAGGCTTAGAAGATTACAAAGGATATCAATTCATGCCCGGATTTGGTCTTGAAGCCACTAAGTATGCTTACGATGAATGGAAGATTCCTGAAAATTCAGTTTTTATCTCAAGCTTTCCAAAAACAGGTAAAAATTTATTTTTGTTCATTTATTCATTTTTTAAATAAAAAATAAACGGGTTTCGGTTTTACGCATGAAAGTCCGGTTTGTAATGTATACAACAGAGTGGCAAAGATGTACAGAAATTTAAATTAAATTTTACAATATTATCCTAAATTATCTATTTTTTTACTGAATGCATGGATTTATTACTTTGCGCTCAATTTTTAAAATTGTTTTTAAAGCAATACTTTATCAATTTCGTTCAAATTATTTAGGTACGGCATGGTGTTTGGAAACTGTGAAACAAATATTATACGGCAGGAATAGAAATCTTCTAGATATGTATCGTACTGTTCCGATGCCAATGTTTCTGGTGGAAATGAGTGTCCGTAAGTAAATTTATTTCCATAAATTGAATGAAAGTATCTAAGCCACGAATAGCGAGTCAGATCGAGTCATTCTTCCCCAGAGTCTTTAGTCAAGTCCGAATAACTGCGAATTTCTAAAGCTTTCCATCACTATAATTGTAGTAATTTTAAATAGAAGTCAATTTCAATGAAATCACTCATATTTTGAAGAAAAAGGGCTAGCCATACCATATATCATTTTTGGATGGGAAGTGTTCTTTAACTACCGGACCAATTGTTTTGAAATATTCAGTAGTCTGAGATTGTTGTTGTCGATAGAGGTCTATTATTTTTACTTTTAAAAAAACTTTCTGTGGGCTCAATGGGGCAATGGTTTTTTGTGTGTGATGTCGTCTTTAAAGATAAATATTGCGCACCTTGTGGCAATTCCGCGTTTGTGACCTGGTGGTTAGTCGAAACGACAAGACTGCGGTACCGATTCTGTAACAAATTAGATACCGGTACCGGTACTTTTTCATTTTGACTTTTGTGTCCATATAAATCAACTGTTTTACAAAATCCGGGAACAATATCTGCACGTGTGTATACAGTACATACTGTTGCTAAAAAAAAACTTCCAAAACATTCTTTGAATTATCAACTTTTAGCGGGAAAATTTGATGTGTTCGACAAACTACCTCATTCAACGCAAGTGTTTGCAACTCATTTACCAGTGGAACTTTTCAACTATGAAAAAATGAAGAGATCAAACAGCAAGGTGTGTTGACAGTATGGATATATTTAGTTTTTATCGAAGTTTGAGAAATTGAAATGATATATATAACGTAAATATGTATCAATAACGGTAACGTTGCCAGTATCTTGTGTCGCTGTTCGATAACCAGCTTCGGTTCCCAGTGGCTTCCCTTACAATAATTACTGTCTCTCGAGTTTTCAAGAAGTTCAGTACAAGTTCTGGTGAATTTAGAATTAATTGTCGGTTGTGGCAGTATGACGGGTCATATAGGCAAAATAAGTAGTGGAATCCAGACCGAAAAATTATTTTAATGTTATATTATGGCATTGATATACTTTCTACTTTCGCAGATGATATACCTCATACGTAATCCCAAAGACCAAGCCGTTTCCTGGTTGCATTTTTCCAGGAAATTACCACTGCCTGAGGAAACGAAGAAGCAAATGGGAGAAGAGTGGAATGAATTTTTCCATAACTACGTACTTGGTATAAATAAGTTGATTATGAAATTAATGAAATCATTTTCATGCATGGAAAAATGTGAAAACTAATGGCACTCTCAACGCAGATTTTACGATGTGGTGCACCAGAGATAGAGTCAACGAACGTACGTTTTACGTTCATGTTCACGTACTATACTTACATTTTACGTACTGTCGCCTGTTGATTTCCGTCTTAATTAAAAGACATGTTGTCAAAAATATCGCGGTTCGGAGTGGTGAGATACTATTTTGGTAACTTAGCTCAACCCACTTCTAAAGCAACCCACGCATGAATCATATGTGTAGCGAGCTACCTGGTAGGTCTGAGCATTTCGAATCGAATCGTAAATTTTCGAATCAGTCCAGGCGAAAATTTTAAATCTCCACCAGCTTGTTATTTGTTGTCCGCTAAAGGTCGAGATCATTCTTCCATTTTTTTAAGCAATCTCCCGTCGAAATGTTTTTAAAATGCATTTCTTTTCTTCCTAGTAAGTTATTGTTGAAACATGTTTCTTATTGTATGTAACTCAGCAAACAGACTGAATCATGACCATTTAAATAAAAACCTTGTGTTTATTCAAATATCTTCCAATTATTCGAGATTCGATTCGCTTCGGAAAAATATTCGAATCGATTGTGAAATCATCAGGTATTAAATGTCCCTAGTATGTCTATGGACAAGAATAACATTGCTGTACGAATGCACTAGTCTAGTGTAGTTATTTAAAATAAAATATTGATAGATTTACATTCAAGATATTCTTTCCAGGAAAACATCCACAATGCAATAAAGAAGGTCAATGGTATCCAGACCACATTAAGGAATGGATGAAATATAAAAAGGATGAAAATTTTCTTGTGGTTGTTTACGAAGATATGAAAATGGTGAATATTTGTGGTAATGTTAAATTTTTTTACGGCTCAAATTTTTTAATTCCTTGGGCAGAATGAACGCCACCATTTCAACTACAATAATGAATTTAACAACAACAATAAAAATTTATCGAAACGTTTATCTACACTTGATTTCTGATAACATAAAAACGCGCGGGTTAATCATATATAATTAAAACTATCGTTGAGTTTGAACAAGCCTGAGTGGGTTAAAATAGAGCCAAATGCTGTTTTCAATCATACTATAGAAATTGTCCTTGCGACTTGTGGGCCAAAAGCGGCCCGCGAATAAAGTTTTTCGGCCCTCAAACGACCTGACCTCACTTTTAATGCATAAAAACAAAAAGTTGGTTAGTTATTCTTGTATTATTGATGAGTTTTTTTATGGTATGTTGTGTGCGAGAGTGGTGATCTTCCACCTGTGAAAATATGATTTACAATATTATGTGATGATAATTGAATGTGTTTATGTGTTTTTAGTTGAATTTTTATCTGAAACTAATTCCAGAATTTCCAAAACGAGATTCGTCGAATCGCGAATTTCTTAGCTGTAGATCTCAGCGACAATGATGTCGCTAATGTTGCTGAAGTATGTTCTATCAAATCGATGAAGGAACAAGCAGATGCTGAAAAATCTGGATTTTTGAAGATGAATGTACGAAAAGGTATGATTATGCCGGTGCGGTAATGTAGGGAATTTTTGATCCAATGCGCATGACGTTCTAGCAATAATACCTACTTATAGTTGATTGATTCCTGAATATTTTGGTCGAACAAGTCAAACCAACAAGTCGTACTGACTGATGCATTCAAATTCTGACTCTTGCAAGAGACAAATATGAGACTATTCGAATACAAACAAATTTTAATTTTTCCATCTCTTTGTAGTAAGTATACGAAGGAAAGAATTATTCTTAAACACTGGCAAGCTGCTACATTTATGGGGTCATAGGCTGGTAGTTGGACGCAAACCTGATTTATTAGTTTGTCACCATGGACCGACATCTTATATCTTTTTTTAGGAGAGATCGGTGGGTGGAAAAATCAGTTCACGGTGGCGCAATCTGAACTAATGGATAAGCTGATAAAAGAACAACTAGGCGACACTGGCATCGAATTCACATATGAAATGTAATCGTTTGGGAATACAGTGATGACGACTAGAGCAAATGGACTAAGAACATATTTATTGTTGTTATTGTTAACTTTCAAGACATCGGAGTGTTTTTACTAAGTCTCGTATTTTACATTCCAAAAATAAATTATTCGGTGAGCAAGCATATTCAAAAAGACTCAAGTTTTAATGGAAAGGAGATAGGAACGTCATAAAAGTCAACACAGGAAAAATATCTTACGATTTACTGACCACAGAATAAAAATTTGTGAAGTCGGTCACCTGTGTTACTTTGGATTAATGAAAAAATCTGGAAGTCCAGGAAAGTAATTTTCGGTAATAGCACAAATTCCATCTACAAGAAACGAATTCGATCTGATCAAATATTTGTGCTTTCCTGGCGCCTTTGTGGCCTGAATATTTTAAATGGGTTCGTGGCTAGGGCAGGGTTACACCTCTTTATAGTCTGAAATGGTTTCAAAAATTTTGGTGTGAAAAGCAATCAAGTTTAGCTCCCTCGTCTTCCAGGCTTTCATAACTTGATTTTGTAAAACTGATATCACTCATTTTATACTTTAGTTTACATCCTGTTAGAAGAAACATAAAAAAAAAAACATCTAGAACAGCGGGTTCTTAAACCGCGGCCCGTGGGCCGAATCCGGCCCGCAAAACGATTTAAAATGGCCCGCCAAGCTTAAGTAAAATGGTGTTCAACATATTTTGTTTCTACCTTTTTGCGATCTAGATACCGCCAATTGCTTTGCTATGTTAATCACAGTTTAAGCACGTGTTTATCGAAACAATCCAATTATATCGATATTTAGAAAGGCGGAAACTTAGTTAACAGTCATGTAAAAAAGCTTAAAGACGTCAATCTGCAAATGACGCTGAAAACAGACGTTTCTTGGGTTAAATGCGAGCGTTTCGTAATTATGCATTGAAAAGAATCAAACTCCATCATTTGTCTTCTTTGCCAACGAACTATTCCAATTTTGAGGGAATTAGGCATTAAGCACCATTAAGCGTCAAACAATCATGTTTCAAAATGTCAAATGAGAGCGAATCCACAGAACCCCTGTGAAACCGTCGCGAACTTTCGGGCTCTGCACTTTTCGGGCCCGCGAACTTCCTCCAGATCCTAATTTTGGCCCGCAGTCATTGTAGTTTTACAACTCTTCCTTATTCTACCGGTATTCCTACCAGGTCAAACATGGATTTATGCAATTTGCGCAAAAATGACATGACAGAAACCTGTTCTCAATGACAAGTCGGGGTCGACAGAACTGCATTCTCCCTAAATTGCGTTCGCGCAAACCAACATTCTTGCACCAATTAATGTTGTAGCAAAATAATAGTTGGCTACTTCTATTACACGTCATGGTTCTCTAAGCGTAATTTATATGTTTATATCGCTCCTATCAGTTATCTTTTATACGCACGATTATGTTAAACGTTGATAAATTAAAAACAAATTTAATTAGTGTCGATTTCTGGCTGAGCCTATTAGGTTCGGAGTAAAAATCATAAATTTTGTAACAATTATGAAACTTAATTAATTGAAACGTCACCGTGAATTGAAACATCAATGAATTAAAACGTTAGTTTAAAAATCAAGCTACCCTGGTGTCACATATTTCGAAATTGAAGATGATTGAGTGTAGAAACGATATTATTGATATATCCAGCGATGGATGGATGTCCCAACACATTGAGGAAAAAAAATTCAATCACATCGATGACGACAAAGATGAAGAGCCGTTTAAGGGCTTGTTTTAAATCAATTTTTTTCTGTATTTTTTGTATATTTTACCTTTAGTATCGCTGCGAAACTACGCCAAAACGTTGCATTCTGGCAGCCGCACACGCAGCCGAAATTATAATTTCAAAAATGTAAATAATTTTTTTTATTTTGACTTTTAACTCTATTGCGTACATTTATCGCCACGTTTGTACCTCCACCAAAGTCATAAAATTTTACCCGGAATGTTTAGCCGAGATATCAGAGAGACGTTTTGAGTAAGAAAATTTATGAAAATTAGCACACGAGCCTACTACGAAAGCAATTAGATCAAGTGCAGCTTTTCGACAAAACGAGTAGGTTGTGATAATGAGTAATATGCTTATATCGGCGTTAATCTACTGATATAAACGATAAGACAGCCTAGCCTATGGTAATTGTAGGAGTCCTCTGATGCAAAGATTCCACAACTAATCTGTTATGACGCCATAATATGTATTTCGAGTTCATGTATTGGCATTTTTCTCATAAAATGAAGGCATTATTACGGTTAATACTGTTCGATTAATTTATGCTTAGCATACTTTGTTTTTAAGGTTGAAGTGATAGAGTTTTTCAAGATTATACAAAATCATTTATTCGATCGCATTTCAATTATCGCAAGGTGGTTTCATCGCAGCAAGGACTTTCACTTAATGGCTTATCGGTTGCGTCTTACTGCGCCAACCACTGAACTACAGCTTGAGAAGGGGTGCATCAGCCTCTATCGATATTTGTGGCGTTTTGAAAGATTTATTGCAAATAAGAAGCGCTTGGCAAGTTTTTACATCCATTTTCTTCAACCTATTTGATACAAAAAAATCAAATAGTACAGCCATTTTGTACAAAACATGCAAAAAAAAACTTGATTTGAAGCAATTGTTTTAAAACAATTCAATTCGAACAAATCCCTAACTACCGGTATTTGAAACCAAATATTGTGTAAGGATCATAAGGCGTACAGTTTGCATAATAGTTTATTTCATGAACGTAACAACGGTAATAATAGAACTCTAAACTCCAACGGTAAATCTCAGATCCATGGAAATGTAACGATAATAAAATAGATCGACATACGTTTTTCTTTATCATGACCGTCTATATAAGATTTCAGCTCTTGCTCAGAAGTCAGAAAGTATACCATTAATAAGAATTTAAAAATATTAAAATTCAGAGCCAAGGGGAAACGAACAACTAAGATTTTGAATACTTGAATACATATATAAACCATATTTGTTTATACAAGTCTTTACCTTGGCCTGCGCTTGGTCACGGGCAATGTAAAGTATAGGTGTTCAGCATAAACGCAACCAGTGAAAAGTTAAAATTGAAAATAGCACTCAGTAAGTTGCTCAGTAAAATGCTGATATTAAATTTACAAAATTCTCATTTCACAATGCTACAGATAAAACAGTATTTAACAAGTTGCAAAGTTTTAAAACTTCCCAAAATCGGCATGTGAAGTAAAAATGAAATCTCCCCCAAAAAACAGATGATGACACAACTTATGGCAACCATTAAAAATAATGTCCCGTTGTGAGAAATTAAAAAAAAAACAATCATGCTCTAAACATTTTTGGGTAATATTATTTTGATAAATACCTAATTATAAGGGACTTAACAGACTAACAAAACTAGTTCAAATCCGCTGTCACATACAAGATAATCAAACATGATACGACTCACGTTATGACTGTGATAACCGTGTATGGGGTACAATGGCGTACAGAGTAATGAGGTATATTATTATAAAAAATGGGGTAAGTATGCTCTACGTCTAATAAGACATAATTATGACTTATAATAGTAACTATTTTACGTAACCAGATATAAAACGAATGTTGCGTAGTCTATTGTCAATTAAATACTGTTTTGCAATATTTTCAGAATATTAAAAAAGTTAATTTTGCATAATAATCTACATTATTTTTAGAGAAGTTGTTTATCCATAACCTAATCTTTGTGGCTAAAGCTTTTGAAGTTACTTTATTTTTGTGAGGCACTATATCGGGCCGGATTATGCATTTTCTACCACTGTTAAATTTCCTCTTGCTGCTTGGTCCAGTTCAATGGCTTCAAAAAGGGATTGGAAATTTCCAGCGCCAAATCCCTGAAGTGGAATATCATATGGTAAAATAAAAAAGTACAAGAGGGTCAGTTATACACTAGAGTACCGGTACGCATTCAGTGCTTTTGGATGAGTAGTGCTCGGTGGAATCTATAAAGGTAATAACCCCATTTGGTGACTCAATTGTTAGGATATGATAGGATTTACATATCTATCCTGAGGAGAAGAAAGCCGACTAGACAGCTTAATCATATTGCGAACCACGGCCTCTTGTTACCATGTCGGGTATAGGAATAGGAATTTGTTTTTGGAAGCCTGGACTTGTTCCCGAATCCTGCAAAATGTGGGACCTAACAAAGAAGCCTAAGAGATTACAGCTGAAATGTGAAAGACTACATGTTATTATCTTTCATAAAACATTCGCATCGATGACTACTGATTAATTGGAGATATTCGTCCGGTCTATTTTTCCTAATAAGAGTGGCAGCCCAATATCACGCATTGTGCTAAGCGTTAGGAATACGTTCGCCACCGCACCTATGATTACCCTGTGTGGTCTCGCATGTTCGAATCCCATGCGGGGATAGTTACGAGAGGATTGTTGGACTCCTCGCCGCCGTAGGGTGGTTCACGTAACCGCTGGTCGGTTATGGATTCCTGAGTCATCAAGTGCATGCTCCCGAAAACGAATAACTGGCCAACTAATCCTATAGCCGACATTGAGTGGTAACCAGACGACAAGCCGTGGTTCGCTAGATGATTAAGCCGCCTTATCGGCTTACCACTCCCCCGGGATAAATATGTGAATCCCATCCTATATAAGGACAAGGGAATATCCCAACTACAACAATGACACGAACCCCACTATCAATAACAACACAAACATAAAGATCTCCAGTACACTTACCTATCCATTGATTCAATTTACTTTATCGAAGTATTTTTTAGTCATATCTCTCTCTCTTTTCGAGGCCCTGCTTTGAGCAATGCTACATAAGTTCTTAGTGAATGCTTACCGAGTGGTTGTGACGTTGAATAACTTCCATAAAGAGAGTTGGGCGATCCTGAACTGGTTTGCTGAATAGTTGCAGCAAGTAGCCGTTTTCGTCAAAGTCAACAAGAATACGTAATTCCTGTGATACAAAGTAGTAATAATAGAAAAGGGTACTCCTGAAGTATGCGCACCAAGATGTCGCATAACCGAAACCCTAACCTGGTACACAACCTGAGTTCAGGTTGTGCGCCATCTTGGTGCGCATACTTCAGGAGGTACAGAAAATGAAGGCTCCATCACAGCGTTTCACATCACATTTTTTTGAAATCGGGACATAAGTCAAAATAGGACAGGATCATAGTGTACCTAGGGCCGTGAAGTCGGAGTTTGGCATGTTTTCTGTTGAGTCGGAGCCGGAGTCGAATTCCTCGAAGTTGATGATACTTACAATGATGATATTAAAAGTCAAAATTTTGTTCCGGAACTCGCAAGGCATCAGGTCTGCTGAACGTCCTAACAGTCTATTAAAAGATGCCTGCATACGCCAATGCTTCTCTAATCAAAAAAAAATTCCAAGTTCGAAGCTAGAGATTTTTTGCGATCAGAGTCAGAAATCCGAATCAAATTTTTTCTCAACCCGGAGTCGACAGTGGGAGTCGATACTCTATCTTTCATACATTAACACAATATGATATATAAAACACCTGATCAGCGGTATTGGTGCATTTTTGTATAAATATGAAAAACAAACATACCTGGATAATATCAAGATCTTCTTCCACAGTGATCTTCGCGTTTTTCAAATTTTGTCTCAATTGCTTGTAGTAAGTATCCGGTACCGATAAAAATTCTAATCCACGAGCTTTCATATTTCGAACCTGGAATTTAATAGTATTTTTTTTTTCGTTGGATTTTCCAATTACAGACGAATAAAAACTGATACGAAGGCATTTTGTTTGTTACAAAACAAGGTCTAATTTTTATTATAGAATGACTTATAACAAGCGATTAATAACCTTCGATTTTAGCAGCGACTGTTCTTGTGTTGTGTTTTCAGTCATATATTTATACACCCAAAAACGGATCCCATACATTTCTTGATTACTTTTGAGAAACTGAGAAAAAATAGTGATTGTATCGAAAAGTTTCGGAATTCAGATAGCTTTGCACAAAAGTTATATTGTCTCTGGAATATGTTCAGAATAACCTGTTTTTTAGGTGGTCACCCAAACTTTGAATTTTTTTTTCCAATGGGAAAGACCTTGCTTTACTTACCTATTTGGACATCTATATATCGTTAACTTATTCTACATTATTTTTGTTTTGCTATTTTACTTATCTTAATAGCACATCAAATTTGCCATTTATTAATACTTAATCGTATATTCTTACCGCAGTAATGACATCGGGTGTGTTCATTGCTATATGTTGGACTCCTGCTCCCCCATTGTATTCGCAATACTCTTTGATTTGACTTTTTCTCTCTCCAAACGATGGTTCGTTCAACGCCATTTTGATGGTTTCTTCGTGGTTGGTAATGACAATAGAGTTCATGGAACTGTATTGAGTGTGAAGCATAGAATCGTCTATCGACCAGAATCGATGAAATAGAAGATTTTGAACGTACCTGTTGAAAAAATAGCTCCAAGTTGGCACAGACTTTGCTAAACATTATAGCGGGTTTTCGCCTCAAAAAAATGCAATTATAACTGCAACTTTATCATCAACTATTTGCTATTATTTTTTTTTATGACCTATTTAGCTTAAGTGTGGAGTTGGAGTTTGGCATACTCCCAACTGGAGTCGGAATGCCGGTTTCGAAATGCCGGAGTCGGAGTTTTGAAGTCCGCCCCGCCCGAAGTCGAAATTCCATGTTTTCGGTGGTAATAGTGAGTTAGACAATATTAGTCGAAATTTTCTACAGTAATCCAAAATACAAAGTTTATTTAGGAGTTCTTAACAGTCTCTCAAAGTAATCTTGTACGCGCCAAAATTTTATTATCAAAAGATAATTTTGTTAGAGTTCGGTGGAGTCAGAGTCCAATTTTTCGATAACCAGTGGTCGATTCCACAGCCTGGTTTCGAGCAAGAGTGAAAATTACATTACAGTTTTCGGGGTCCCTATTATTGTAAAACAGGACTTCAACGGCTACTAATTTGCCTCTGGAATGTCTGTTGTGACAAAATCTGTCTTCACAAACAAAAAAACTTACCAATCTGCCATTGGAGTCATTTCATTCTCTGGTTGACTGCTTACCACGTGATCAATAAATCTAAGTTTCGGTGCTGGCCTAAATACATTTGAATATATATATATATAAGACGTAAATAATGTAATAGGAAGAGTAATTTTATTTTAATGCAATCGTCCCATACTCTTTGTAGTATTCAAAACACTAATTTGCATATTTCTACATATTATCTGAAGACGGGAATGCAAATGAGAATAGCGCTATGGTTATTGCCTGGTTGTGGCGATTAAAATGAATCAAAAATTTTGCCAATAGTTCACCACTTGTTAATAGCCGAATTCGGTGCAATGATGTGCTACAAAATATCTTAGAATCACTCACAGGGTGTCGTAGATGTCCGGTTTGAATAAAGGTGCCTTAAATCCGGGTAAAAATAGTCCGTTGAAGTTACTTCGTTCTATAAAAGTGTGTGTTGTATCGCCGTACGTTTGAACAGTTGCCATTTTAACTGTGCCGTTTTCATCCGACTCTTCCCACAAGTCTTTGACGATTATTGCTCCTCTCTCTTTTGCTTTCTAGAAAGAGTAAATAGGTAGTCAAACGGGGTTTTGACTCCGACTCCCTCACCTAACCCAAATTTTAATAACTGAAACTATTGCGTATGCAAGCCTCCTTTATTAGACTGTAAATGCGGATTAGTAAACTTAATGCATCTGAAATTCTGAAAAAAGTATTTAATATAAACATCAAATGTGAGAAATTCCGCCTTCTGTTTCGAGGGAATTCAAAATGTCGACTCCGACTCCGGTCAATTTGAAAATTTGATTTCAGCACCCACTCCGATGAAAACATGCCTAACTTCGGACTTCATAGCCCTGAGAGATTTCAAGGTTTCATATTTCATATTTCAATGATGTTTCGCAGTCTTACTTCGAACACAATTAACTCCCGAAACACGACCTCATTATTATTTTTAAAACCAACTTAGATAATGATTTCTTGGAATTTCTAAACATTGCGTAAGTGGTGACTATTGGCTACGCTCTTTGCAGCGATTTCAAGCCCCTGCAGTGTATGTTAGGTACACTGGATAATGATTTTTGACCATTTTATAAAAGGTTAAAGTGCGCATTATTTGTTTCATTTTTAAACACGATATTAATTCACTTATAAAAAAGATTATTTTTTTGAACGTTAATACGAATTCCAGAAAACATAATTTCATTTCATTAAAAACTTCTTTCATAATCTGCCAGTATCAATGAACATACCAATATATTATTTCTCTAATATTGTTCAGTTCTCCAAATATTTCATTTCTGTTTAAAAAAGACAAGTGATCAACATGTAAGAACAGTACAAACCTGAACTAATGTTTCACAATTTTTTACGGTGAAAGCAATATCCTTAACTCCGTCGCCGTGTTTTGAAAGATATGACCCCATGACCTCGTTTCCGGGATTGAGCGGAGAAACAAATACAAAGATAATGTCATTTTGTCTGAATTAAAATATTAATATCATAAATAGAATAATTTTTCAAATTGTGCAGATCGAAAGAAACACATGCCTTTCTGCACAATAATGTTGAGTAAACTATTAATGCTCTATACTCACTTTACCACGTGTGATACAACATCTCTTGTTCCTGTTTCCAATCCTTTGTAGGCAAACGGTTTGAAACCCATGTGCATACAATAGAAATCAGCAGCCTGTAACATAACGTTATAAAAGGTATAAACAGACAGAAACTGAAAATATTCTTTCAAAATATACTTTTGATGAACGGACCTGTTTTGCATTTCCAACCCAAAATCGAAGATGGTCGAAGCATTTGAATTTTGCATTTTCATGCTGTAATCAAAATGATGAATTGTTGAAAAACGTTATCGATATATTGACAGAGCAATGCGGTATATGCTCTAGGTGCCACTTCGGTATGCGATCTCACTTGCTAAACATGATCTCAATCGCATACCGACATTCTCATAGAATTTAAATCACACCACCGCTGAGATCGCATACCAAAGTAGCATCTATGCTGTCTGTATGGCTGCAGATTCAGATTCAGATATTTATTTTCACCGTGTAATGTCAAGCAATAAACGCACACAAAAATAAAAAATAAATAAAAAAAACGGCAACACATTGATCCATAGCAATTGATGAGGGGTCGCGAAAGACTCGGTGAGTCATCTAGTCAGCGACACCTGAATTAAACAGAAAATTAATCATGAAAAGAACAACAAATTCGTGATAAGAACTAAAAAAAATTAGGAGAACCATTCTGATTCATTTCGTATAGATCGCGTATTACCGACATGTAGTGATTGGAAAAATGTCTCGCTGAGTGCAAACACAGCAAATTTTGCTGACTAATATGATAGGCCAGAATATGAAACATGACGCTGCTGCCTAGCAACGAGGGTCGTTATGGAAGCAGTCAACAGTCAGGAAAATTACTTGCACGATGAAAAACCGGTATGCATTTTGCTTATGTCACAGGATGAGTAGTCAGAATATGACAAAAGCTAAGTGAATATTGCATAACTTTTATAAAAGAAGTTGCAGTCATGAAATAGAAGAGCATAAATGGCAGATTGGGGAAGCCTATACGAAAACGTACATAGGTGAAAAATGAAAGTTCACACACGTTATGGGGAAGTCTTTTACTTCTTACTGGTAAGCATCAAGATATATATTTTTCAAGGCCTGTTTGTAAAAATTATAATTCTTTGTACTGGTACTATCAGGAAGCGAATTCAATAGTTTGACACCAACAAATTTGATTGAATTTTGGATGAGTTTGGTGGAAAAGCGATTTACATAATAAGAGTATATGGTCGAGGACCGTGTTCCATATGAGTACACATCACTCTGCTTTGAAAAATCGTTGGTGAATGCTGGCGGGAGTTTTTCGTTGTGGTGTTGGTGCATTCACTTCAACAATTCAATTTTGTGAATATCAACCATTTTAATTACACGGAGGCTACGATAAATAGGACTAAGACAAGTGCGGTATCCTACATCTGAAATAGCACGAATCCCTTAATTCTGTAGAATTTCGATGCGATGCATGAAGTTTTACCTGCTGAGACCAATGCCACTATGCCACTATTGAATATGGGATTGAAATAAAGAATAATAGACTATACGTACAGAGGCTAGCAATGTAAAATGTCGAAGCTTGTATAGTATTCCCACTGACTTGGCTAATTTAACCGCCAGGTTATGTATTCGAACATCCCACTTCCTTTTCTTATCTATGTATAAAACAAGTTATTTTTATAAACTGATATTCTCAAGTTCTATACCATCAATTTGGATTGCCAGACTATTTAGAGCTTTTCTTTTATTAGGTGATATTAACATAGTTTTTGTCGATTTATCGATGTTTATTGGCTCTTATCCAATTTGCTACTTTTTTGCAATTTCAGTGTTCACTCCCAATTAATGAGATATGTCTTTAGTAAATACTAAAAATAGAAGGGGTTCTAAACAACTACCTTGTGAGACCCCATGAGTCACCGGCAAGGGAATGGAACGATTTGAACATACTGTGATTTGCCCCTTAAATAACTAGTAATGACTTTATTTGCTATACCTTCTAATACCGTAATGACTCAAGTTGTAAACCAGGATGTCATGATTTACGGTATCAAAGGCCTTCTATAAATCTAAGAAGGTTGCACTAACTAACTCCTTTTTTTCTAGTTTGTCGTATATAAAAAATAATAAGACTGTTTTTGAAACCGTATTGAGATTTATTTATGACATCATTGACAATTCATATGCGGTAGCCAAAATCATAAAAATGGACTTGCTCACGCGATTATGAAGAAGATGTTTGAAATTACCCAAATCATTAGAAAACTTCTGAGAAAGGCTGTGCCCAATGGTTGCGAAGTACTCGGTACATTTGGTTAAAATCAAAAAGCCATCACCTGTGATATTGCCATTTTTCAGACAGATTTCCTCAACTTGTTGTTTTGATTTATTATGTGTGTACGTGATTTGGTTAACGATTTTCCATGTTGATATAGGGTTACGTCGGTTTTGGGAAATAAGGTTTTGGTAATAAATTTGTTTTGATTTATCGACTACTCTTGTCGATAGTTTTTGAAGTAGGAGCATTGAGCACTGTTTCCCTTCAAAACATGGGATGTGAATAATTTATTTTTGTATTGAATGCAAGAAATCAATCCTTTAGTTAGCCAAGGCAATAATCCTATTTTTTCTGACGAGGTGAAAGTGGTCGTAACGGGGCATGTCGATAAATCAGAGAAACGAACGATTGTATAAAACTGTCAAATGCACTATCAAAGTTTTGTATATGCTAAATCGGTTACTGAGAATGTCAAATACATCCGTACGAAAACAGTCAAGTGAGAATGAGGACATGTCCTTTGACAATACACAATCATTTGTAGAGGTTGGTTTTACCTGGAATTATATCACTCAACGAATTTTTTGACCACAGAAACTTGTAGCGGAACATATACGTGTACATCGTTTATTTGCACAAGGCACAAAATTATGATAAAATACAAATATAAACTATTTTGTATTCTCTTAGAACGCAAAACAATCACCAAATATCGTAACGAATTTTGTGGCTTACTTTTTCGCCTTTATCTGTGTGGTAACTCTGAAAACAGAATGTTAGAATATGTCAAATATGAAGCCAATTAAGATAAAATCAATCACCAATCAAAGTCGTGCGAAAGCCAGGCCAAATGTGACACATTAGAACCCCTAAGAGAGATGGCTTTAATTCGTCAAATAAAATGTATAAGATGATGAACGTTTGAATTGATTACTTTGCATGAAGACTTTAATAAATGTAATAAATTTAAATATACCTCACCATGTTGTCAAATTTCGTAATTCAATTTACAAAATGGAATTGGTTAAAATCTAAAGCGGAAGTAAAAAATAAGACAATCAGAACCATTATATGTCGAAAATGATTCATACATCGAGTTATATTTGTTTGTTATGTACTTTTAGCAGAAAATAACCTGGTACATTTGGTTTCCACCTAATACATTTATGCTGGGAAAAACAGTCATATACGACAGGCAATCTACGGTAGAACTTTTGTACCACCGCCTATAGCAGTGGTTCCCAACCTTTCTACCCTAGCGGACAGGTAAAATTAAATTAAGTACTCGCGGACTGGCAAAAATTGAAATGACCGGAACAGAAAAGAACAACATTGCGTAATATAATGCATTGTCGGGCACTCAATATGCTTCTAGACAAAAAATGAACACCTAAAAACATTTCACACGGAGTAAAACTATCAAATGATGTACCGGTCAAAAATTGAGATGGGTGAAACATAGAATACTATCATATACCGGTATTTGCGTAATTAAATGCAGTGTTCGACAACCAATATGTGTAAGAAAGACACGCATAAAACACCCCGCATAAAAAACACATAATACATGCCAAAACATGTACAAACACAAGTAACTTTAGTGAGAATTTTGCTGCCGTTTCATTTCCAAAATAGGATTACAAACGAGGCCTCATAGAAGTTTCTGAAACACGTAGCTCTGCAGCGGCGATTTCTTTGCTTTGTTTTAATTAAATCTAGTGATGAAAATTTTTCGCATAACGCATTAACTGGTTGAAGATACGCACTAAAGTTTGATTTCTCGATTACTTAGCGATGGGTATCTAAAACTGTGTCAAGTAACTTTTTTAAAAATCTAGACTGTAGAGTAGAATCACAATTTTAATAAGTATTTTCTTTTTTATCGAGTTTATCATATTAATCCCTTTTCAGTTGATCGACGCCTCAAACGAAATTAATTTACGTTACAGTGACAAAGTCGTCGATAACTTGGCACCAGGCTCAAAATCCTACTGTGTCTGCTCAAATACTGGAAAACAACTTTGCGGCCCATGCTTTTTTGCGCGTCTTGTGACCAACAAGTTCTTACTAGAATATTATACTGCTGTTGATGTTTTCTGGTTCAAACAAAGAAATATGCATGACGCGTTAGATCGATGTTCATATTAATCAGGAAAGGCATGCACAATAGAAAAAGCATGCGTGTCGAATTTTAAATTTCTGAATCTCGCGAGATATGATGGAGCGCATTCACGATGAATCGGAGCCGAAAGAGGGAAAGTGTGATTACTCGGCACCAAGATGTCGCGTAAGACGGCGCCAAGATGTCGCGAAAGACGTCGCAATGTGACGGCGGAAGAGAAATTGCGTAATAAACCAAAGCAACCTCGTCTTCGGTAAAGCGATTGAGACGGCATCAAAACATCCCCACAAAAACGAAATTTCTCGCGGACCGGCGGTTGAGAACCGCTGGCCTATAGTAATTTATACAACTTCATCGCCCCCTGGCACTACAAAAAAAGTCAGAAATGGATATATTACAGATCAAATAAACAAGAAGACAAATCACAGTTCATAGTGTTTTTTAATGAGATGGATGAGCTTGGTGGTTTTCAGCGAGATTTTAATATTTGATGACATTTTCGTCAGGCACAATCTCAAATCACCCGTATACTGATGGAAAGGCGATTTTGGTGTTTTTATAGCAACAGTGTCACAAATGAAAACCCCTCTTTTCCACCAAATAAGACAGTGGTTCTTAACCTGGCTTCGATCGAACTTCTGGGGTTCGGCGGAGCTGTTCCAGGGGTTCGACGAAGGTCATCTGAAACAGTTGTTTATTATGGGGTGTTTCTATTACCTAGCATACTTATGCAATTATGCCAAAATAACTGTAGTTCATCGCAGATATTCACAAATAAACGGTTAGTGGACTTGTCGTTGTTCTACACCTCAGATTCTAGTACATTTTATTGAAAGCTTCACATATATCGTACGCTTGGTAATTATCTATGATAGCGCTTCTAGCTGCTTTATGCTTATGATTTTGAAATAACTTAGGTTGTTATGACAAACCAAGATTTTGCGTGAGCTGTATTCATAATCTACCGTACTAATGAAATTTAACTCAGTTTTACGAATAAATCGAAGATTGGCATTGAGTGTACATAAATGAATGCAAAATCAGAGCGCGTTTGAATTTTACTAGGTGATAAATTTGCAACAAAGAAAACTATATTGGCGAACACTTTTATCCGCATTTCAATCCAGTTTGAGAAACGAATGACATAAACTTCCAACGTTTTTGAGGCATATCATCTTTTGGATTGTGCCGCCGACACTATATTCACAAAACATTGAAATATTAGAGCGGGCTGCTGGTCCGTCCCTAAGGTTACACCACAATGTACATTTTCTATAACCTTGCACGAAGTTAGCTTCCCCTTCATAAAGTTAGTATTGGGCTAATTTCAACCGTTCAGTACAATGGGGTTCGACGAAAGCTTGAAGAATATCGCAGGCGTTCGGCATGCTCGGAAAGATTAGGAAACACTGATATCACAGGTCGGAAATGAAAGAATTGCAAGTCTTGGGGGGCCCACACATATTTTTTGAAAGTTAAAAACGTAACAGAGGGCGAATACTGTTGTGACCATTCGTGAATTCGACTTAGTCGTCTCAATAAAAGAAAAAAAAATACAAATAACATTTCATGTGACACTTTCTTGTAGCTGCATCACGCTTGATAGCTTTTCGACATCGGCTGCACACTGAATGAAGCCAAGATTAGAATATTTTCTGAATGAGCATCCCTAATCCTAGTTCTCTGCTTGTTCCTTGTAATGTTCATTTTTGAAAATAATTGTTCGCACACATACGTACTTCCAAACATCGCGTGGTTTGTCAAATTTTGATAGAGATTTACTTTAAGAAAATACATTTTTATAAAAATCGATCGGTTTGTCAAATTTTGATAGAGATTTTCTTTAAGAAGATACATTTTTATAAAAATCGAGCAGTGAAGCATCTCTGGAAAAGAATATTAATTTTCCTTCCTCATTGCATTGCATCTAAAGAAGCTCCATTTAAATATTTTGCCTAAATATAATTGAATTGCAGGCTCGTTAAACGAGTAGCTGTTCACTATATTGTTAGATTATAATATAATCTAGTCTAAACGTGTCTCATGATCTACTCCTCGAGCGTAGAATATGAAATTAATCCATTGTCAAAACCGCCGTTTTGTCTCTATAATTCAGTGGAGCGTCGCGGGCCGAATTTTACTCCGCGGGCCGTAGGTAGCCGACCCCTGGGCTACACGAACTACCTCACGGCGGGGAGGAGTCCAGCAATACTCTCGCGCGTGATTATCCATCACCCACTGGATTCAAGCCAGTGAACGCACGCAGAGTACAGTAAGCAAGCGCACGATGTGACAGTCGCTAAACAAAAACAGGTTTTGCGAAATCGCCTCCTTCGGCTTTTCGCCCCCCTTTTGTATTGTTTTCGCCCACTTTGGGAGTCACTGGTCTAAACTCATCTCAGCTCGAATACTTAAGGTATTGTTCTGAGGTGAAATCAGTTACCGCACCTCGAAATTATACGTAAATGACACGCTTCCAAAGTCACAGCCTCACTGACTCGAACAGAACGGTATACAAGTACATTAACCTAGCCTGGTTTTCTTTTATTAATCAGCATACGTAGCGTAGGCTAATGTTGTCACAAGCTTACAAATGCCTGCATTCAACTCTGATTTGCGTACCGTTACGATAATGAACTCGTCTAACCTCTTCCATTTTCAGGTGCATTTTATTACAGCAATTGAATAAAATTATCCGGAGTTCGTCGTTTGAGATAGAAATCCGTAAAAATTACGAGATAGTTAGATTTCAGGCCCCAAAGCGAGAATTTTATTACGCAATATTTGACTTGATATAGATTTGCTCGTTAATAAAATCAATATCTCATACTGCGGGATTTCGTCATATTGTGTTACAGCCCGACCTATCCCACCATAACGTGTCCAACAAGAGTAACTTCCACTTCGCATACTTTAATTGATCACATTTACACAAATGAATGCAATTAATCATTATTCATCATCTTATATTATATTACATGACATATCAAATCACTTAACTTTCATCGCATACTAAATGATCACATTATATTATTCATGATCTTATATATATTACACAATCATATCACTTTCACTTCGCATACTTTAATGATCACATTTACACAAATGCAATTATTGATCTCTGTTCATCATCTCATATTATATGACATATCAGATCACTTTCCTGTCATGTAATCTTTTTTTTATTTTACTAGTGCACCTAAATGCAAATTCAAAACTCGCATGAGACGCAAAATGTCCACTTTCAACACAGAAATATTAAGATACGATGCTTAATTAAAATATATTCAATGCATTTGTATTGACACAACTGTCAACTGAAAACTTCAATAAAGTATTTGATATTTTCTTATCTTCCTTACGGACCTAATCGATACCCAAGTCAATATGGTCTCATGCTCGCGTGAAAAAACTAAACTGCTATCAAAGCATTGGATTACAAAGGGTCTCCATAAATCCATCAATTGTAAAAGTAAAACGCACAACAAATATTATTTACATGGTTCTCCAAGTCAACGTGCATTCTACAAAAAATATCATACCACTGTAGATAACTTCTTAAGAAAACCAAAGCAAATCCACATGTCAGACTATCAAAGAGATTGTAATACAAATCCAGCAAATGACTCATCAATATCTGAATTGAAACTTGCAAATGGTTTTGAAACAAAAAAAGCCAAACAATCGCAAACGGACCTAATAATTTTTTTTCAAATACTGTGAAAAGTTTAATAAATGAAGTGCCACAAACAAATACAAATTTCATGAGCTTTCTCGGCGTCCCTTTAAAAGATTACATATATTCACGATCAACTAATGCGACTGAGGTATTCATTACCATCTCAGCCTTAGAAAAGGTAAGGCTACAGGTGCTTATGACATCTTTCGCATTTCTAAGCAAACTTCAACATTATACAGACATGAGTA